CTCAATTGTCCTAATTGTCCTTTTGTTCAATTGTCCATTAAACTTAGTCCAATTGTCATGAAAATTGGCCTGAGAACTCGAACCAACTTTTGTAATTTCTAGTCTATTACAAGAAACTTCAACGGGTTGATGTCCAAAACTCCGAATTAAACGAAATTTTCACATATGACCGTTTTGAGGAGATTCAGGACTACTTTGACTCTATAATTCAAATGGCGATAACTGACTCGAGTTATATTTTGTCCAATTGAAACTTGATCGGCAAAATTAATCATTCCAAAGTGAACACGACTGCTCGTATCAGGGCGAAGCCCTGAATGTTCCGATTTGCCTTTTAAGGTTTATGGAGCAGCAGTAATAACATAAAAAAATTAAAAGAAATAAAATGAAATGAACATTTTTTTTTCTAAAATTTGAATTTTTTTATGAAAATCATCCCCCCACACGCCATATAAAGTACAAAAAGCTAGATTTCGTTCCTTGTAACAAATCCATTATGGCACATAAGCTTCGTTCCACCAATTTGGAACGATTTATAAGAAGGATTAAATCTCCGCTTACGCGTTAATAGCGCGAATTATATCGCGCGTTAATTGTCCAAAATTGGTCAGAATGGCCAAAATGACAATCTTTAAACCCTCATAACTTTACGAAAACTGATCACAGCTGAAATATATTTTCAAATTTAAGCTCAGGGTAATAATACCTTTTGAATGATAAAAAAATTCAGTCAAAAATGGCTAGTTAAAAAGTCGGAATTTGTCTGAAGAAAAAAAAAACCCACACCGAGCCCAAATATTCCGTTACTTTCGTATCGAAAGTCGAACAACAAGACTGCTCTTATCAAGGCAAAACCTTGAATGTTCCCACTATCTTTTAAAGTCTGTGGAGCAGTAAAAAAATGAAAAAAAGTAAACGTAAAAAAATAAAACGAGAATTTTTTTTTAATTTGAGTCTTATTTTGTAAAAATCATACCCCCACACGCCATCTAAAGTGCAAAGTGATAATTTTCGCTCGTAGTAACATATCAATTATGGCAATTAATCTTCCTTCAATCAATTTGGGATAATTTCTATGACGGATTAAATCTCCGCTTATGCGCTAATAGCGCGAGTTATATCGCTCGTTAATTGTCCCATTTTGGCCAAAAAGGCAATTTTTAAACTCCCTTAACTTTACAAAAAATGATCACAGATGAAATATCTTTCCAATATTAAGCCCAGGACAACAATACTTTTTGAATGATATAATAAAAATTCTGTCCAAGTTGGCTAGGTAAAAAGTCGAAATTTGTCTGAAAAAAAAAACACTCCGAGCTTAAATATAATTCAAATGGCGATAACTGACTCCAGTTATATTTTGTCCAATTGAAACTTGATCGGCAAAATTAATCATTCCAAAGTGAACACGACTGCTCGTATCAGGGCGAAGCCCTGAATGTTCCGATTGCCTTTTAATGTTTATGGAGCAGCAGTAATAACATAAAAAAATTAAAAGAAATAAAATGAAATGAACATTTTTTTTTCTAAAATTTGAATTTTTTTATGAAAATCATCCCCCCACACGCCATATAAAGTACAAAAAGCTAGATTTCGTTCCTTGTAACAAATCCATTATGGCACATAAGCTTCGTTCCACCAATTTGGAACGATTTATAAGAAGGATTAAATCTCCGCTTACGCGTTAATAGCGCGAATTATATCGCGCGTTAAGTGTCCAAAATTGGTCAAAATGGCCAAAATGGCAATCTTTAAACCCTCATAATTTTACTAAAAATGATTACAGGTGAAATATCTTTTCAAATTTAAGCTCAGGGTAACAATACCTTTTGAATGATAAAAAAATTCAGTCAAAATGGCTAGTTAAAAAGTCGAAATTTGTCTGAAGAAAAAAAACCCACCCCGAGCACAAATATTCCGTTACTTTCGTATCGAAAGTCGAACAACAAGACTGCTCTTATCAAGGCAAAACCTTGAATGTTCCCACTATCTTTCAAAGTCTATGGAGCAGTAAAAACATGAAAAAAATTAAACGTAAGAAAATAAAACGAGAAATTTTTTTTAATTTGAGTCTTATTTTGTAAAAATCATACCCCCACACGCCAACTAAAGTGCAAAGTGATAATTTTTGCTCGTAGTAACATATCAATTATGGCAATTAATCTTCCTTCAATCAATTTGGGACGATTTCTATGACGGATTAAATCTCCGCTTATGCGCTAATAGCGCGAGTTATATCGCTCGTTAATTGTCCCATTTTGGCCAAAAAGGCAATTTTTAAACTCCCTTAATTTTAAAAAAAGTGATCACAGATGAAATATCTTTCCATATTTAAGCCCAGGACAACAATACTTTTTGAATGAGATAATAAAAATTCTGTCCAAGTTGGCTAGGTAAAAAGTCGAAATTTGTCTGAAAAAAAAACCACTCAGAGCTTAAATATTCCGTTACTTTCGTTACGAAAGTCGGAACAAGGAGGCAAACATTGTTCTAAATAAAACGTTATGGGACACAAATTCTATCACTTTGTTTTTTAAATAGCGTAAAGAAAAAACTAAAAATGTTTCATTTTTTGTTGCCCGTGTTTCAATAACTTTTTGGAAGCCAATTTTTTTTAAATCGGTGCTGAAGAGTCAAAGCAATCAAGGATTCGCCCTGATATTGCCTGATTATGCCCATCACATATTTTGCTTTTCTCAAACTCAGTGACACATTTCCACATAGTTCGCCCGTAATATCTTCAATGCAAAGCCCATCATATTTTTTGAGCGAAATGTGGGGCCTTACATACTTTGCCCTTTCCAAATTTCGTGGCGCATTTTACTTCTCACTCAGTTCGCTCTTAATACTTTACACACAAAGCCTTTCATAAACTTGCAGTGAAATATGGGGCATTACACATTTGCCCTTCCGATATATAAATGCCCATTTTGCTTCTCACAAAGTTCACTCTTGAGATCTTTTACACATAGTCTCGTCATATATGTGGGGCAAAATGTGTGAGAACCAAAATGTGCCACAAAATTTGAGAAGGACAAAAAGTGTGAGCGTAACGTGCCATATTCCAAATTAAAAGATGTATATTACAAAACGACGGAATTTTTTGGTATAAGGCAAAACGAATCAATTTGACAGCCAAAGTCAAGAAAAAGCGCTGAAGTTTGAGTCGAATAAACATGGACAACTAAATTACCTCAGTTCAATTTGAAACAAATCCTTGCCGTGCATTAAGAATTCGCGCAAACACACTCGCAGGGCAATTTGAAGTTTTCCGGATGGATAGCCAGCCTTCTTTGTGAACTTATTCTAAATGCATCCGTTGGCTTAAAAACAGCGAAAATATTAACCCGTTTAGTCGATTTTTTTTTGTTCCGACTCTCGGTACGAAAGTAACGGAATATTTGTGCTCGGGGTGGGTTTTTTTCTTCAGACAAATTTCTACTTTTTAACTAGCCTTTTTTCACGGAATTTTTTCATATCATTCGAAAGCTATTGTTGTCCTGAGCTCAAATTTGAAAAGATATTTCACCTGTGATCATTTTTCGTAAAGTTATGGGGGTTTAAAGATTGCCATTTTGGCCAATTTGGGACAATTAACGCGCGATATATTTCGCGCTATTAACGCGTAAGCTGAGATTTAATCCGTCTTAAAATCGTTCCAAATTGGTTGAAAGAAGCTTATTTGCCATAATTGATTTGTTAAAAGGAGCTAAATCTATCTTTTTGTACTTCATATGGCGTGGGGGAAGATGATTTTCATAAAAATTTCAAATTTTAGAAAAAATTTTTCATTTTATTTTATTACATTTATTTTTTTGATGTTTTTACTGCTCCATAAAACCTCAAAAGGCAGTCGGAACATTCAGGGCTTCGCCCTGATACGAGCAGTCTTGTTTGTTTTTCAAATTGCCTTCTACCGCAATCTTTTTAATTTTTCCATTACAAAACCAAAATCAGCTTTATCAACCATCTACTTTCTTAAAAATTTCTGCTATTCCATCCGGTTGCGACAATTGGAGATCAGTGAACAAAATAATGACTAAAGACTCCAAAAGCACCATAATCAGAGAAAAGTTAAGATACAGGTGACACATTGGTATGGTTTTTTCCTCATGGACAGCAAAATGGAAATTTACTTCAGCTAATTTCAGCGGTGGCGTCCCTATGACGGAAGGACTAATGTTGTAAAACGAATTTCAGCCAATCAGAATTGAGTATCCAGAAATTTCAAAGCGACCGATAAGTCAAAACTAGCAAGCAAACCCATGCCTTGAAAATTCAAATTGATCGACTGCAAATTTCATACATTGCCAGATTTATGCCGCATTGGAAAAAGTTATACTTGGAAGATTTAAACATTTAAAATTATGTTTATTTAATTGCTGCACAAATTGTACCGCAAAATTTAGCTGTACTGCTAAAATTCATTTTCTGCTACTTGTTCCAAACATGACTTGTGCCGAAAAAAAAGCGGTTTGAAACTTTTGAGTTTTTGTCCGATTTCGAGCAAGTTAAGCAAGCGAGCAGACTTGAAAGACATTGAAAAGTTTCCAAATTTTTTTTCCAGTTTCTAGAAAAAAGCAGTTTGAAAATTGTAAATTTTCAATCAATTTTGCACGAGTTAAGCGAGCGCGCAGACTTGAAAGACAGAGAAGTTTTCGAACAAATTTTCCAGTTTTGAGAAAGCGGTGAGAAACTTTTGAATTTTCGTCCAATTTCGTGCGAGGTAAGTGAGCGTGTAGGCTGATTAAAGATAGATGGTCGCAGACTAGTAGTAAACAAGCAGTGAAATTTTGATAAAGTCCTTAAAATTCTCATAAAATTAGTTTGCTAAATATTTAGCACCATTTTTGGACTAAACATTTTCTGAAAAATTTTTGCAAAAAAAATTATCAAAACTTTCTTTTTTTCTTTAATTTTTCGTGACTATTTTTTCCTACAAAACTGTTTTTCAAAATTCCTTTTTAATTATAAATTTTGAAAACTATAACGATTAAAGTTCAAATTATATAGCCCTCCGTAAGTATGGTTAATCTTCGTGCGAAGAACGACTTTGATTTTTATACTATTTTATCAAGCTTTATTAGTCGCTAGCTAAATTATTTTACAAATATTTGAGAAATGTTTTCAAGTATCAAAACGTTTGAGAATCATTTTCAATTGAATCACAAATCACACATTGCTTCCGTCATTTTCGTCAGATTTTACTTCATCGCCACTCTTTGCAACTGCAGTAGCTGAAATAACATTGAAAATAACAAACTTCCTTAGCATTTATTGTACACTATCTACTTTAATAACACTCTTTTCTTGCAATTATTAAACGATGTAACTTGTCGCCCAATGGCGGATCTATGTTTTCTCGTGTTTTCTCGAGGGAGGATCGGATTTTCAAAAAACTCAGTTTTTGATTTTTTGAAAAGATCGCATTTTTTTTAGGTCGTCTAAATTGATTTTTTGAGTTCTTTTAAAATATAATAAGGACCCTATCAGTTTGACAAACGTTTTCGAAGACACACTGGTCTTGGACAACTTTTGGAAAATTTTTGAAAAGCTTAAATTTTTGCCAAAGGAGTTTTTAGAAAAGTTGTAGGGCCAGTCGGTCAAAATGGATGTTGTAAAATAAATCCGAAAGGGGACTCTTTGGGTGGTGAGAGGATCGAATCCCTGAGGGGGGGGGGGGGCGTCCATTTGAATCTATGTTACCGATTGAGTCTATGTTGTAGACGTTGATGGTGATGTTTGTTCCATTCAGTGGTTCTTCGTGGGGCATTTCAATACTGGCATTGAAGCCAGGCAATTCTGAATAAGAACGAAAACAAAAACTGTTTTTGTACAAAGTTACCTACATCTTTTATCGACCCTAAAAAAACTCAAATTCTAATTTATGGTGGTGCCAGCATCCAGTTCGTTATGATTAAACTCATTTGATTATAAAAACCTGAGTATTCATTTTAACTTGCTGTACATAAAGATATCAAAACACGTGACCCAATAATAGTAGCCTTTTAAAAAAGAGAGAAAGAAAATGACCACTGAATTAAGAGACTTTGGGCACTAACCATGAGATAAGTTTGATATAGTGATAGTCGTGTCATTAGCAGAGCTGTTCAGAGCCACCTGTTTCGCCATGTGTTCGCACAGACTCATATCTGAAACAGCAATAAGTGTGGGCTGAAAACTTTTCGTCTCGAAACTAAAGTATCATAGAAAATCCTGAACTGTTATTAGATTTATTTGAAAAACAAATTCAATTAATATATCGTTTTGCATTTAATTTCAACTTATCATCAATGTATATTGTAACAAATCTAACTTAAATTTCAAAAAGTCTACATACTGACAACAATCCTAACATTATATTTCAAAAGTAATAATTCAATTTTAAAAAAATGCATTTAATTTAAATCCAATAATCTATGCTTCCAAATTATTTACCCAAAATTACTCAGTAAATGCAAAACTTTTTGAATAAAATCGAAATTTTTATTCTCAATTCGAGCCATGTTCAAGTATAAGTGGGTTTGTGGCAGGAACAACGATTTCTTTCCGCTAAATTTGGGCCTCAATAGCAAAAATGTGAGCCACTTTTTCTCAACATTGAGAAAAATTGGATTTTTTTAACATCCGAAACCCGACAGGAATGTTCGAAGGAACTTCAACATTTTTCAAAATGACATAGACAAAGTTGAAAAAATAAAAACAACCGAAGGCAAAGCTTCTCCCCGCTTTCAGTAGTCGGAACAAGACAATGAGGCTGGAATTAAATTTGGTAGATAACAAAAACTTTAGGAAATACCGTTGGATGTGACGTTGAAAAAGTTGGTGGTAATTGTGCCCTGTGAACCCATCTTGTCTTTCAGTAGGGGGAGATCCACTTTGAGTTGCCTCCTTCCGGAAGGAAATTCTAAAAGATTAGCCACTTTCATAAGAACTCATCTTCTGCTAATATTAATCCAAGGACGCCGTATATTGATCAATTAACTTTTATTCTTACTAATGATATCATAACTGTTGCGAATTTATTATAGTTAGGAACTTTTCTAGCATTTGAAATTTTTACTATCTCTTGATACTCCTAACAAGAAACCATTATTTAAAAGAGTTTTTTGTGTTCCACGTAGTTTTACTCTTTCAGCCACTCGGATTGGAGAAAATATTGTTAATGAAAACTGGTCAACAGAATTGATGTTGAAAGTTTTAAGAAAGCACAGAAAAAGGTTTGAATAAGGAAAAAACAAAATCTCGCGTGAGGTGAGTCTAATTTTTTTTTCAACTTTCTCGTTTTTTGTGAAAGCCTGGATGGGAGGTTGGAATGGTCTTAAAATATATTAATGCCTTCAGCTGAAAAACTAAAAAAAAAAGTTAATTCACCAGAAACAAAGTTACTAGATGCTAAGGAAATCACTTTGTACTTAGCATAGCGCGTTGAGGTTTTTTCCCTTTCTTTTGATTTTAGATTTTTTCGCATTTCTTTGGATTTTTAAAAAAAATCAATTTCTAAATTTCTTAATGTTTTTTAAAAACTCTTTCATTGATGATAAAGGGCAGTCGGGAACATTCAGGGCTTTCCCATGAAACAAGATTTCTTATTCAGCGTTTAGATCCAACAAATAATGATTTACGAAAATCTTCATTGCTTCAATCATTGTACGACTCATGAAACCGCGTCGAAAAACAGTTAGAAATATGAAACATTTTTCAAATTGAAATTTAAATTTTTGCAGGAAAAATTAGGAAAAGCAAAATTTAACACACGATGTCTCACTCAAGTTGTAACATACATTTATGTAGCATCTAGCGGGTCTTCAAAAACCCCACCCTCCCCTAAACTCCTTCAAATTAATTCTCGAAACTACAAATCAAGAAAATTGAACAAGGGGAGTTTCATTACGAAATATTAATGTGAACCAAAAACACTTCAAATTTCCTTTTTTTTTTTTAAAAAAAATAATTCTTGCAAACGTTCAAAATTGTGGATTAAATTTGGTGCATATTATGTCAAGTATCTGATTTTTTACTGCACATATAATAGGTTGATTTAATTTGTTTTTGGTTTTATTAACTTTTAAAACCAGCCATTTTTTTGAAAAAGTTCAAAACAAAATGATCCTTTGAAATTTTTCTAAATTTGATACAGTGCTGATGTATTTGCTATCATTTCCGCCAAGCTGAAACAAATTAACCGATGATTAACTAGCCTCAATTGGAGCTATATCAAGTTATTTCGCTCATAATAGTTGTTATTTCAATGCATAATAGTTTATAAAAAACTATTATGCATTGAAATTTAAAGCTCTCTGGGGGTCCATTTTAGTTTTTTGAGACTCCAAACATTTCATGTGAAAATAGCCAGTTGCGGATCTAGGATCTTCTCGAATTTCGAAATTTTATCGACCTTTTTTTTTAGGTCGACCTAATTGATTTTCGGAGCTCTTAGAAATCACTACAAAGACCCTATTTTGACCAAATTTTCTGCGGCGCAGGCAAAATTTTGAAAAAAAACAGGCCAAAAAAAAAGCTTTTTGGGCACTTTTTGGAAACTGTTGACATCAAAATCACGTTTTTTTTGGCGCTCGCCTCCCCTTCAAATTTAGTATTAATTGGCGCCAAAGGCGCCTTTATAAAAAATTTAGGGACCGTCAGCCAAAAATGGAAATCTTAAAGATCGTCAGGGGTTCAAATCTTGAGGGAACGGGGAGGCGTCCCCCCCCCCCCCCTAAATCCGCTGGGAAAATAGTTCGGATTTCAAGATTTTCAGGAAAATGTAATCGTCATTATCAATCATCACAAAAAAAATTGGCGGAAAGAAAACACCTCATAACATAAATATTTTTCGTGCTCGTCGAAAGTTTTCGTTTTTGGGTATTTGCACAATTTATTGAAAGTATGCGGATGTTTGCCAAAGAATAGTTTTTCAGCCGCTTCTGCAAGAAAAACTTGCGCAACCGCTTCTTTCGATTGAGCTTTTCATCTCAAATTTGATGAGTAGATTTTAAGAAAACTCAAAAAATTCTCGATTAACACAACCTGAGAATTAGCACGGTAATTATCGAGTAACGTCGAAAAAAATCCAAAAAACAGTCAAAAATAAGAGCGAAAGTTTTGGAGAATTTGAAAAGATTTTCCAGGCAAATTTTAAGGCGTATCCGCTTAAGCGCAGAGGCTTCCCACATTAAACTCTTGATATCAGACTCGGCTGGGTAGTTTTCGAAAACAAATTTCAAAAAACAGACTGGGAATCAAATCATTAACTTTTCTGAAGTCTTTCTTTTTTGTCGGAAACGGGTCAAAAGTTTCAAAAAAAGGGTCAAAAAATCACATTTTGATTTTTTCGAGGGTCTTAATTTAAAAAAAAACAGTTTGGGCGTAGAAATTTATGCAGCGGAGCTTCTTACAACACGTTCTATCCATTGAACACAAAAACTACGATTCGTGATAATAGTTTTTCAAAAAAGTAAGAAACGTTTGAAAAATGGTCAGAAAATCACAGTTTTGGTTTTTTTCGATAGTCATAACTTTTCGCGTTATAAAGTTTTGGCGTAGACAGCTTATACAAGGAAGCTTTCCACAACCCGTCCTTTTGATCGAAATCAAAAATTCAGATTTGAGACAGTGGTTTTCGAGAAAAAAAAGTTTGAAAAAACATTCAAAAAGTCACAATTTTGATATTTCCGAGGGGTCATAACTTTTCATGTACAAAAAAAATTGAGTGTAGCCGCTTTTGCATGGGAAGTTCTCGCAATCCGCCCTGTCGATTGAAATAAAAACTCAGGTTTGAGAGGGTATTTCTTGAGAAAATGTATAAAAAATATCAAAAACATGGGTCAAAAACCCACCACACTTTTTCGAAGGCTGTAGAAAAAGGGATAAGGTAAAAAGAAACAAAAGAAATAAGCAGGCACACAGGGGAGTAGAAGGATTTTCCATTGTTGCCACTTTTTGAAAATCGGTAGAGCAGTTTTTGAGAAAAACTTAAAATTTTCAGAAGATAGAAAATTTTTGCCAAAGCGTCCGAAAAAATGAAGTAATTAAAAAAAACGATCCCAAGAATTTTATTACTATCTGTTTTTATCGAACAGAAAAATCTTGGCAAACATGCCAAGCAAGAAATTTGAAGTCCAAATTGGCAACTGAACAAAACTTACGAAGCGGAAACAACGCCGACATTCTTTGAACAGACACCAGTTGAGCCGAAAAAAAACTGATTTTGATGTCCCCCTGAAACTACACTGTAGTAACAAGTACCCACCTGCAAGTGATTCAACTGCTGTATGCCAGCTGCAAAAGATTGAACTGATTTTGTTAAACGAGTAGTTAACCCAATAAAATTCTACATTCCGAGTAGATAACGCTTCCTAATCGCAAGCGTAATTATATATTGGTGCCGAGGCGCCATAAAAAAAGATTTAGGGTTTGTCAACCGATAAATGGATGTCGTAAAATTGGACATGGCCAGGCACCCATGACCACCCCGCATTTAACTACATCCCCCGCACCTTTCCTAACAATAATCATCTTGAAAACAAGAAGAAAATTTATTTCAACCTGTCGAAATATTGCTGGTATTGACAGTACGGTCTGAGGACGCATTCAACGCTGCAGCATGTCTTGAGATCTCACGAGTCAAATCCAGTACTGAAAACAAAGAAGATACATGACATGCCTTGTGAATACGACGTCTCGAATTCTCAATTTAATAACAGGGTTATCATCAAGAAACATGCCACAGTAGTTTAGAAAAAAATTGCGGTGGGCAAAACCAAACTTTGATTACAAGTAAGTTGACCCAATTAATGGATTCGAAATGATGAAATATGTTAAGGCACGCAATTTGCTGCATGTAAAGTAAGAATACGATTTCAACATTTTTCGAAATACCAAATTTCGCCGTTTTTTTTGAAATGAGTAAACGCTAGTCATTATAGGCATAACTGAAGTTATTGCCTACTCGAGACCGGTTTATAACAGTAGATTTTTCTAAGATGTACACTTCTATAGTAGTTATTCCCATCAATAAAAAAATTAGATAGGCCATTTATGTGTCAGACCAGTAACACTGGTATAGCGCAGTAGCGTGCGTGCGCAGGAATTTTTGACGGGGGAGGGGCGGTTTTTTCGAAACGTTTTGTCGACTTTTTGTAGGTAAGCTCTTTTGAAACTTTCAAGCTCAGTAGAATCCCCAAGATGACCAATCATACTTAGACAAATTTTCTGAACAGCATTTTTTCGGGAACCGTTTGGAAAAAAATGGCAACTAGAAACGAGGCGGCAGTCAGAGTTCGGCAACAAAACTTAAGTACTTTTGAATGTCTGAAGTAAATGAAAAAATTTTTGTTCTTCAGCTTTAAAGCAAAAAAAAACAAAGGAATCTATACAACGTCAGGGCTATTAAATTTAGAAACTGCAGGAGTAAATAAAAATCAGTTGCAACTATTATGAACAAAAAATTTCAAGATGTGGCAACTAAACCGACAAAACAAGCAGACAAATAAAAGTCCGATAATTCAATTTTTACCGGACATTTGTTTTCAATTTCATACATCCGGCCGGGACTCGAACCCTATATATAGGGTTCATCGCAGTCATTCTTGTTTTTTTTTGATAAAAAACAACAAAGTTGAAAAAAAAAAAGATCGAACAAATTTGTGAAGGTCTAGAGCAGGAGCCAATCCCGAATCTGGGTGAACGGGCGGAACAACTTGTATGTTACAGGTGCGGATATAAGATTTGCTCGATGGCACGGATTACTATAAAAATTCAAAACTATTGTCAACATTTTTTTAATTCGACCAAATTGACTTTACGAGTGTTTTTTTCATATACATGGGTTCGAGTCAATGGGTTCTATATATCTGGGTACAAAGGCAACCCCGTTACCTCTAGGCCAAATGGGAAGGAGTATCGAAGTGGTTTAGGTTCAGTAACAAAGCAACTTCACAATTTCTTACAGATTTAAACGACAAGTTGTTTATGGGGGGAAAGCCTTGTTCTCGATTACGAGACGCTTGCTCTCGCGAGTGTAATCATGTAAAAGTTATTGATGACGACAGCTTAAACATAAAAAATATATTACCTGTAATTGTTTTTCGCCACGTTATGAGGCTTTGTAAACTGCTAGTTTGGTATAATTAACACGCGATATACTTCGTGGTATTAACGCGCCACATCGTTCCAAAGTGATATTAGGAGTTTTTCTGTTTGCTGAAAGCTCACCAAAAACTTTTGAGCCGGAATTATTCACAGCATTTGCTACGCACTAAGAGAAAGTTGCATAATTGCACATAATAATTATCATAAATTCACCAAATAAGCATTTGCAAACCCCCATAACTTCACAAAAAATAACGAAGTCATATCTTTACTGACTTGAGCTCAGCCATTGATATATTTCAGATGACATGAACAATTTTGTCAAAAACGGTTAATTAGAAAATTGAGCTTGGTCAGAACAAAAAAAATTTCCGAGTATTCGAAATTCAGAACAAAAATTCCAGCACATGGTTTTGTCGCAAGATGTGATGATTTTCCTCAAATTAGCACTTACAGGCAACTGCTATCCTCTATTGTTCAGAATACGAACACTTTTGGTAAAATTCAAAATCAGCATATACCAAAACCAGCATATTACAAAATTAGTCTAAAACATAAATCTTGCTCAAAATTCCTTTAATTTAATGTAAGGACAGCAAAAATATGTTCAAACTACTTCTTAACGTAAACGACGATTAATTCTAAAAGGCAAAGCGTCTGGTATTGTTAACTTGAAGTACACTAACTGGCTGCTGTTATGTTGCTCGAGTTTATGTCTTCTCCTTCAGCAGACTTATTCATCGGAGGCACTTGAGGCATTTGTAGGTCAATGACTGACGAATCTGAAAAATATGATAGCAATGAAAAAAATTTCTGAGAACAAAATCTCTCGTATTAGGTCAAATCCTGAATGGTCTGACTGTTATGTCAACCCGGTTATACAAAACGTGATTTTCAAAAATAAACTGTAGCGTCAAAGACCATATTTTACGTAAAAATTATGAAAAAAGAAATGTCTTTTTTAAAATTGAGCTCAAGACATCAATGCTTATCCGATGGCTCAAAAACCTTCATTCAAAAATGGCTAGTTACAAAATTCTATTTAAGTCTGAAAAAAATGCTGAAACCATTAAAAAAAAACTTTTTCTTTTTTTGGGAAACCTATTATCCCACGCCCAAAATAAACAAGACTGCTCGTATCAGGGCGAAGCCCTGAATGTTCAGACTGCCTTTTAATGTTTATTGAGCAGCAGTAATTAATAAAAAAAATTAAATGAAATAATATAAAATGAATTTTTTTTTTAAAATAAGAAATTTTTTATGAAAATCATCCCCCAACACGCCATATAAAGTACAAAAAGATAGATTTCGTTCCTTGTAACAAATCAATTATGGCAAATAAGCTTCATTCAACCAATTTGGAACGATTTATAAGACGGATTAAATCTCCGCTTACGCGTTAATAGCGCGAATTATATTGCGCGTTAATTGTCCCAAATTGGTCAAAATGGCAATCTTTAAACCCTCATAACTTTAGGAAAAATGATCACAAGTGAAATATCTTTTCAAATTTAGGCTAAGGACAACAATAGTTTTCGAATGATATAAAAAAAAATCCGTCAAAAATGGCTAGTTAAAAAGTCGAAATTTGTCTGAAGAAAAAAAACCCACCCCGAGCACAAATATTCCGTTACTTTCGTTTCGAAAGTCGGAACAATTATAAACTGATATATCTTGCATCAACTGACAAACTATTTTTAGACAATTAGTGTTTCTCAATTCAATTAAAAATGGTGACTTAGCTGGATTTATGCACCACTTACGAGTAGTAAGAACGCAATATATCGTTCAAACTGCAATTATTTTAGCAAAATTTATCACATATAATACATCTTTTAGGACATCAATATCTTCTAGGCCGTATAAAAAGTTCTGTTACAACTTTGTTTGAAAAATTTCAAAGAAATATCTCTAGTAGCTAATGATAAATTTTGCAAAAACAAATATTTATCCGAGGAGCTAGTGATGAAAGCCGACTCATTTCTATGTACAAATAATGGAAATCGAAGTCTTGACTGTTTCGACTGCCTTTCAGCGTCCGTCTATTAAAAAGTTTTTGATCTAAATTGCTTTTCAAATAGGTGCGAAATTTTTTCAAAGCTATTTTTTACTTTTGCTATTCTAAGTGCAGAAGATATATTTTGCGTTTGGTTACATATTAATACGAGCAAATCACATGCCCTAATTGTTCCGACTTTCGATACAAAAGTAACGGAATATTTGAGCTCGGGGTGGGTTTTTTTTTCTCAGACAAATTTTGACTTTTTAACTAGCCATTTTTGACGGAATTTTTTAAAATCATTCAAAAGGTATTGTTGTCCTGAGCTTAAATATGAAAAGATATTTCACCTTTGATCATTTTTCGTAAAGTTATGAGGGTTTAAAGATTGCCATTCTGACCAATTTGGGTTAATTTACGCGCGATATATTTCGCTCTATTAAAGCGTAAGCGGAGATTTAATCCGTCTTTGAACTCGTTCCAAAATGGTTGAAAGAAGCATATTTGCCATAATTGATATGTTACAATGAGCGAAATCTATTCTTATGTACTTTATATGGCGTGTGGGGGGATGATTTCATAAAAAAAATTCAAATTTTAGAATTTTTTTTTCATTTTGTTTTATTTCATTTAATTTTTTGATGTTACTACTGCTCCACAAACCTTTTAAGGCAGTCAGAACATTCAGGGCTTCGCCCTGATACGAGCAGTCGTGTTCAATTTGGAATGATTTAATATGCTGTTTACGCTTCAATGGGACGAAATTTTGCTGGGTCATTATTGTTCCGACTTTCGATACGAAAGTAACGGAATATTTGTGCTCGGGGTGGGTTTTTTTTCTTCAGACAAATTTCGACTTTTTAACTAGCCATTTTTGACGGAATTTTTAATAATCATTCGAAAGGTATTGTTGTCCTGAGCTCAAATTTGAAAAGATATTTCACCTGTGATTATTTTTCGTAAAGTTATGGGGGTTTAAAGTTTGCCATTTTGACCAATTTGGGACAATTAACGCGCGATGTATTTCGCGCTATTAACGCGTAAGCGAGATTTAATCCGTCTTAGAAATCATTCCAAATTGGTTTTACGAAGCTTATTTGCCATAAATGATTTGTTACAAGTAGCGAAATCTATCCTTTTGTACTTTATATGGCGTATGAGGGAATGATTTTCATTAAAAAAATTCAAACTTTAGCAAAAAAAACTTCATTTTTATTTTTTTATTTTTTAATGTTATTACTGCTCCATAAACCTAAATAGGCAAACGGAACATTCAGGGCTTCGCCCTGATACGAGCAGTCTTGTTTCAATTAGAATTGCCGTAATCAAAGCAGTCATAAATTCAATCCCCCGTAACTTTGGAAAAAATGGTCTCACGTAAAATTTCCTTTTGATTCTAAATTTTGGAAATTAATAACTTCAAAATGGCAGAGAAGAATCCGACTAAATTAGCCAGTTAAAAAATAAATTTATTTGGAGAAAAAGCCACCCCAGCATACATACTCATCATTTTCTCATCAAACCTAGGAGAAAAAAGAACATGATAACATGAGTTCTACTACAGGGTCGTTTTTTCTTTGGTTTTTTGAGGTCGACTCTATGGCACTTTAACGCTTCAACCAATAGTATGCATTAACTCGAAGTTCATAGCCAGTTACTTGCTACTTCGTGGAACTTTTTAACAAACGCTTTTAGGTTACGGTGAACTGTATTTGATTTTCATGACATCTCATTTTCATTGTCGAAATGCTTGACTCGAAAGTTTTACGGAATAATGCAATTTTCTTTGCATGCACTCACTCGCACAATGTTGCCAATTATGCAAATTCCATTGAAAAAAGTGGACTGAGAATATAAAATTATAAAACTACGTTTGCAAGCTCGCTTTTGTAGTCATTGCAAAGAATTTCAAAAGGAAATTTGTACCAATTTTTTTTCAACAAAAAATATTTAAAAGTTTTCAGTTTTCAAAGAAATCAAATGATAGACTCGTCGACTGAAATATTATTTCAATTTGATCATTTGCATCGACTTTGCTAAAATTGCCTCAAACCGATAACATGAAGCGTAATTTTTCGCACTCCGTATCACAACTCGAAGGTCTTAAATATGATACCCAGGAATATATATTTCCCACTTTCTTCGAATGTCGGAACAACAATGATTTCAGATTGAAGTTCACTCACCATTAAAATTTCCATTTTTCGATTTCCAAAACTGCGGAAGCGACGAAAGATTCATCAAATGCCACTTCAGGTTTCTCAGGAAACTGATTTTGGATTCCTCCTCAATAGCGTCTTCTAAAAGAGAAAAAATAACCAGTTTATGAAATTTGTCCTCATTATCTCAAGCCAAACATTCAGCCTAAAAGGGCTTTAATCTTCAAGCCAGGCGCGGAAGTTGATCCATTCACTGACCAAGCGTTTGGAAAAAAATCAATGCCAAGTTGTGGTTTACTAACTAAGTAATTTTCTCCTATGATACATTTTTTATTAGCACCCTTCAAAAGGCACTCAAAGTTATTATTTTAGCACAACAAAAATATTTCCACCTTTCGAAAATGTTAATATTTGATTATAAATGCCAGTAAAAACTGATTATCAAAAAGCGGCGCTGTTACAATCTGATGGCCAATTTTTTCAGAAGTCTAAATGAAAGGCAACTTACTTATGACATTGAACGCAGTGTCGTCAGCAACTGTTCGGTTGTTCAAGTTTGGACCGATTGCCGAAATGAAGGATTTACTACTTTTTCTGGTAAAACATTTTGGCTTGATTATCAGGTAAAAAATAACGATCTGTATTAGCAGAATACATAGCGTTGTAACCAAAAGTATCATAAGTTTTGCGTTCTCCGTCCCATTTTGCTCGATCAAAGAACAAAATGAGAGCAAGTATTCCTCGTCACGAGACAGTTTCTCGGTCAGAGCGGCAGCGTCTAGATAACTGTCAATCGGACAAACAAATCGTGATTTCACTTCGCCCATCCAATCCGACAGTACCACAATAGTTCCTTCCATTTCCAAGTTTGGAATAAAAGACACCACTATATTTGATGATATCGATTTTGAATTCGTATTTTCCGTTTTCATTTCATCGAAAGAGTTCGACACAAAAGAAGCGTCGTGAACCATGAAGCTCGGAACTTTTTGCACCTCAGTCAGAACTTCGCTTCCACACTCGTTGGACTTGGTTTCACTTTCAGGAATCTCTTCGATGATGTTTATTTTGTCCTGATCAGGTATACTGATTGTTAGACTTTGACACGAAGCATCGATGGTTCCACAATGAGGCAATGGGCAAATGGTCAGTGTGAAAGTGTCGTCTTTTCTGTATGGCGACTTCAGGGCGATGCCTTTAAGATTTTCGGCATCTGTTGGTTTAAGAGGCGAATGAAGAAACAGCAGGAACGTTTCTCCGTACATGGGGTGATCTCTGAAACAAAGGCAGTAAAAATGTTCAAATGTACCGAATAAGAACCTAACAACATTAATCATTTTTTATATATTAAAATGACGAAAGTGTATTTTGTTGATGGTGCCTTTTATCGAGGGCCGTCTTTCAATTTTTGCTGCAAGGTGGATGATATTAATTTCTGAAAAAATACATTCTTATTTGTCCTGAAAATTTGTGAGAAAAAAGGCAAAAAATTGTCAAATTAGACAAGTACCACAAAACTCCGACCTCAAATTTTTGCAAGAGGCGTGTGTACCCTAAGCATCGAGAGCAGTAGCGTTCCGAGGGTTCATGGGAGGGGTGATTAACGTCAAGCAAAGGGCGGTTAGAAAAATGTTTTTCTCTTGTTCTTTTTGTGCTTTCATAACAACAGTAAAACAAAATTGTGTTTCTTGTAACTATTGATTATTGAGAACGGCATTTTTTCCCCAATATCAGACTTGGTAAATTTACAAATTACTGAACTTTCAGTTGTAGTTGTAAATGACTGTTTAAATTGGAAAAAAACACAGTCTCTAGAAAGTAAGCCAAAAAAACTCTATCAGTTAGAAAAATAGCGTTTAAAAAAATAGAAAATGAACCGACGGAAATGAGAACGAAACCACGAACCCGAAAAAAATTAACATAAAAAATTTAAAATTTGAAAAAATAACTACAATGTAAAACGGGTTTTACCTAATTACTATTGAAACTACAGAGTTTTCAAGAAATTGAGCATGTCAGAAGATGAAGGAGTCCAGGAGATATGAAATGAGTCCTGTGAACAAAGTTGTTTACGGGTAAAAAAAAGTCTAGTCCCCGGTTGCAATACACTTGCTTATCGCAAGGGTGAACATATACTTGGAAACTGATTCATTGTTACTATTATCTTATTATCAAAACGCTCAAAACGTCATTTTAAGCTTGTTTTTTTTTTAAATTTACCTTTGGAAAATCTAAGTGGTCGACCTGAAAAAGTCGATAAAACTTTCAAATTTTTTCAAAAACCGCCCCCTAGAAAGATTTCTGCTCATGTTACTGGTCAGGAGCAGGCTGTTAATAGCATAATCAATGAATGAAGTAAAATTTTGATGGCTTTTCTGACGCTGTTCTTCGAAGTTCGATCTAATTTGGTTTGAAAAATTACATCAGACGCAAAAAAAAATAATATTTGAACACCTGGTTTTTTCATTTTTTTTGTTTTTGCGGCAATAACTGTCATGAGATATGTCTGTGCTATTTGAGGAATCAGCATTTGAAATTGATTGAACACTTTATGCTCTTAGTTACAACGCTCTGAGCAAGAAAAAATGAATTTAGGATGCACAAAGAACCCAAAACAAATTATTTACTTGTCGTGACTGCTATAGATGACCTTGAACCCGTTTGCACTTGCAATCATAGCTGGCTGCAGACTCAAATCCAGAAGCACAGTCCAGAAGGGCTCCCTCTGTTTGGGCAGTGGGTCCAGCAACAGAGAGTAGGAGATATTCTTGAACATGTTCTGGGTAGACCTTGGGTAACAGAAGCGGGAATTGAAGATGGGAGAATCTGGAATGCGGTCTGTGGACACTACAGTTGCACACTGAAATGGGGAAACGTTGAATTTTCCTTCCTTAATGAAAATTTTGGATTAAAATTTGTCAAAAAAGTCTATTTTGTCTTTCTATTTTTTCCATTATACGGCATTAAGCTTGTTGTTTCCATTAAAAATCTGTAAGCTTCACTCTTGTTTTCAATTATTTCCAGCCGCAATAAAATTCAAACACGTTGAGTAAGTATTTAGCCACTCATGAATTACTGCTTACAATTTTGAAGGAGAGGTCCCTGTAAAAGCCTGTTGTGAAAAAGTGTTCCCACATCAGACAAATGGCATATAGTTATTAATTTAACGATAACTACGAACGCTGATCGGAAATTTTTTCCACCAAGTAACCAACACCACACTTAAACAACCGCAGCTCACCTTTAAAGCTTTTTATTAAACGTCGCGCGAGGGACCACTATTCCATACTTGTAACCAGAAAAAAAAACGAAATGGTAGTAAATATGGCATTGAAAGCCATTTTGAACTTCTCCAGCGGTGCTGAATTTCCTGAATGACATTTGGATGAATTTTCTGCACCGAGCTATGTTTTTTGGTGCATTTGTGAATGGTTTAGACCAAAAATTGCGTTTTTTGGCGCGCGCTTCCCTCAAACTATTTTAGATAGGCGCCCAAGGAGGTTTTAGCATTTGTTGTCTCAGTCAGTCAAAAAAGGCTGTCGTAAATTAATTTAAAAAAAGCAGTTGAACCCTTTGGAAAAATTTGTCAACCAGAGATGAGAGGGAGGGCGATTCTGACAAATTTTTGAACTGCTAATCACATTTTTCTTAGCTTACAGCAACCTTAGAAAACCCATCTTATAGCAAGAGCGCTTTTGAGTCCAAACTTGTTGGAACAAGCGAGTTCTGAAATCAGTTGGTTGAAAACTTAGTCATCTATAGAAGTTAGGTAAGTAAAAGTTATTATTTTCATTTACCTCAGTTTTGTTTGCCTCCAATTCTCGTTCCCAACTGTATACGAACAAATCATTCCTGGATGTGTTGTCGGGGAGCCTAGAAATCCTCGAAGGCTGCAAAAGGCCTTCACTTGAGCAAATTATAAACAACGTACAAACGGTCAAAAAATAACAACGCAACATTTTATCTATGTGCGTGCGTTTTAAAAGTCTAATATGAAGAACTTTTGTATGAATTACCTTAGAGCGTAAAGCGTAAGTTGAGTTGCTTCAGTGACAAATATTTGAAAATATCTTAGCGAAGTTGGCTTATATACAATCTCTAGTCTGTTGCAACGGTATAGTCAGATTATTAAAAACATTACATCCACATAATTGTAACATGTTATAAGCATGTTGTGTCATTAACTGTTGTAATTTTGGCGATAGCTTGATAACAATCAAAAAAATTCTTTTCACTCAGCAAGCATCGTAATTTTTAAACCAGCTTGCTATACGCGCGATTTATTTCAATCGTTCAAAACTATTTGAAGTTGTCTGAAAGTCAGTTAGAAATCAAAAACGAAAAATATTATTCGTAACGTGCTGAAGAACTATAGCACAGAATGTTCCGACCAGTCTTAAAAAATAAAAAACAAATTAAAATTAGTCTTGTTTTAATTCTGCGTGGTGTGATAAAAAGATCTGAACGAAAAAAATAAAACTTAGGCATATTCGACATTCATAATAAAATAGGCGATTGGTAAACAGTTTTTGTACAGTGCTGATTTAAATTATCCGGACAAAACGAACAAAACTTGAATTTTCAAACGCGTTTTTCTCAAATTGGGTTAAGATTAGACAAAAAGTGAAGAAAACAAAAGTTGCTTAGAATTTCACCAGAATTAATATGGTGCCATTTTTTCTCCGAAATTCTCAACAAAAAATTTACCCCAAAAATGGGTCATTTTGGCTTTTTTCAATTAATCAAGAATTACGCAGAAACTACTTTGTTAATTGATGAGAAAATTATATCACAGGAAGCCTCTTACGCAGTTCAACAAAGTTTAAGAAGGGTTAAATCTCCAAAAACCAGTATAAGAGAAAAAATTATCACCTGATAGTCAATAAATGTGATTTTTACTATATAAAACCCAGAAGTTCTGTTTAAAAATAAATTTTAAACAATTTGCGCAATTTGTTGAGAATTTCGGAGAAAAAATGGCACCATATTAATTCTGGTGAAATTCTAAGCAACTTTTGTTCTCTTCACTTTTTGTCTAATCTTAACCCAATTTGAGAAAAACGCGTTTGAAAATTCAAGTTTTGTTCGTTTTGTCCGGATAATTTAAATCAGCACTGTATATTCGAATAGAAAAACAAATGACTAGAAAAACAAAAAAATCATAAACAAACCAAAGCAAGTCAACAAAAAGAAACCAAATTTTTTTCAATTTTTTAAGTTTCTAATTTTTTGATGCTTAAAATGGCGTAAACAAACTCTTAAAATAGCGTAAAGAAAATTAATTTTTCGAGTAAAACTAAATTAAGGCACAAATAAACTATTGTAAACGGCTTAAATTAAGCCAAAACTGAGCCCGAAATTAGACCAAAAGGCAAAAGATTCAAACATGGTTTTTCTCGACACTGAGAAAGTTTTTAAATTTTTTTACACCGTTCAAACCACGACTGAAAGGGCTTTAATATCACTCTACCTATTCCGATTATTATTTGTTGTACCTGATTTTCGTGAATTAAAAAAACACATGAATACTAAGTTCAATGGTCGGAACAAAAAGCATAAATCAGATGAACAGGGAAGCTATTACGTTTTTTTGCATTTTGAAGCAGCCTTTTTACCAATACATTCCAATACTCCAGCTTTGATTCGCCCAAAAATTATTATACTTAAGAAGACCCAAGAATTTCAAGATATCAGAAAAACTCCTAAAGGAATCTTAAAAAACCAGAAACCAAAAAAATCATGCTCTCAGTAAGGATTTAAATGAATTTTGATTTTGAGTTTAAAAAAAAATAAATATGAAAACAATTATCAGTAAGCCATCAAATCAATTCCGATGCAGCTGAATAGATCAACCATTAAATGTCTTTAAATTAGTATGATAACAAGAAAATACGAGACGCCCAACAACGTTCTAGCGTTTAATCTGCAGTGCTTAACCTTCGAATCAAAAGTGGGTACCGCGAAAACTCGTTATGCTATATTTAAAAAAATTAAAACGCGCATTTACTGAATTAATTATTGCGAATTGTCAGTCTCCTTAATTTCAGCCAGTTAAACTTTTTGCCGGTTGTCGTATAACGCAAAATCTGCAGGTTCATAAAAAATGAAATTTCTTGAGCAAGACTATGCTCATCTGCTTGTTTAATAAGAATCATCCCAAACACAGAGGCAAGGAGGAGCTGTGCACCACTCGCGATATTACTCCGACAACACAGCGCAAACTCGAAAGTCGAAAAGAAGACGAAATAGGCTGATTTGACAAAACGAAATCAACTACGAGGCCAAACTGAGCACTAACAGACTCTCGATCTTGTTGTCTGTAGGTCACTGGAATCCAGAGAAATGTCTTTGAACATGTTCCAAAATTTAGATGCATTCCACTAACAAGATTTCTGAAATTCCGCGCACAAATACCTATGACCTAAATTTTGTACACAGAGGCGAAGCTGAGCTTCGCACCACTGAAATTCCGCACACAAATACCTATGACCTAAATTTTGTACACAGAGGCGAAGCTGAGATTCGCACCACTACTGTGCAATCAGCTACGAGGCCAAACTAGGCACTAACAGACTCTCGATCTTGGTGTCTGTAGGTCACTGGAATCCAGAGAAATGTCTTCGAACATGTTCGAAAATTTAGGTGCATTCCACTTACAAGATTTCTGAAATTCCACGCACAAATACTTATGAACTAAATTGTGTACACAGAGGCGAAGCTGAGCTTCGCACCACTTGCGATACAAGTATGAATGACTATGAAACTCAAACGGAAAAACTCAAAAAATCGGTTTTGTCAAAAAAGTTCAACAAAAGCCCGAAGTATCCGGCCCAAAATTGCCTGCACCAATAGAGACTCTACAATGAGCTTTGGAAATGCTATACAGAAGCCAAGTTTTCAAAAAGTCCTTTGCGGAACTAAGCAGACAATACTCTAAATTATGCAATTTTCTATTTGCAAGAAAAACAGGTCTCAACTGGAATCGAACTCCCGGGATTTGTCGTCTCAAGCATGGGGTTTACAGCAACTTGGAACAAAACTGATCTATCGCGCTACGGGAACTATGCCGACCGATAAAAATAAACAGACGGACGACAGTCCGAAAAAGCACAAAACTCTATTTTGCACAAACTAAAAGGCCTCGCCGGATTCGAACCTCAAATCTTTGACGTCTCAAGCTGTTTTTTTTTATATCTACGCCAGATGAGCCGGATGGTTGATTGGATTTGAACTGATAATTACCAAGCGTTAACAAAGCAGAAACAACATGAACAGAAACCCTTCATGTCGAAAAGAATTTCAAAAAAAAACAAACTTTTAAAAATTGTCCCTTTTCCCCTCGGAGCACACACGCGCACAAAATTTTTTTCGGGTGAAATGACGGAATAAGAGGCCATTAAGTCGATATTAATTAAGCCGAAACTTCTTAAGCACATAAAAAGACGAAAAAAAAGTGAAATTTTAACAAATCGAGCTGGTAATATTTCAACGAAAGTGAAAAGCAAATTTCGATTCGGCCGATTTTTAAAATGCGTTAAGCAACTGCAGTGAAAATTGTTTACAGCTAAAATAAAGGATGCTTAGATGTGGCAGCTAAGCCGATAAAATATGAGCAGACAAATAAATGGCCGAAGTTTTTTTGAACCGGAACATTTACTGTTCGAAAAATCGGGTCCTGGCCAGATTCGAACTGACGACCTTTGCCGTCCCAGGCGTATTCGTTATCACCAGGTTAAGTGTGCAAGCGACACTACAAAATTTGAACTCACTAATGGTACCACCAGTAGTCCAATGAGTTCTGTGGACCAAGTTGTTCACGGGAAAAACCGTCTACTACCCGATTGCAATACCCTTGCTTATCGCATGGGTAAACAAGCAAATAGAGCTTGTTGTTCCCCAAACTGCAATCAGATTCCGCAAATATAAGCGGTTACCGCAAAACGGTAATTTAGAATGAAATGAATATATACATATTTGTTTCTGAATTCCACAAATTGTTCCGGGATCCGCAAATTTCGCTGCGGATTCCACAAATTCTCCTGTTTCGGGAGCTATTTTGAGCAAAATAATGTTTTAGCAAGTGTTTGTCGAGCCCAGAACAGCTAGGAAGAACAATGAAAACTAGCAAGATTGTGGATTCCGCTGAAAATCTGTTTTCGGCCTGTTGCGGAATCCGCCTGCAATTCACTAAATACAGTTTGGCCTCTTAAGAAAAAAAACGCCAAGGAAAACAGGTTAATGGTAAGATTTATTGTTAAGTTGCCTAAAAAACCGGCAATACTTGAGCAGACAACTGTTGTGCTGAAAACAAATATATTTCCTTAAAAAATAATGGAAAAGATCAAAAGTACCCTTCTCAAAACCCATTCACACAAGACTCTTTTTTCGCTCTTCAAAAAATGCAATATGAATAGAACCCGTTTTTAAAATGTGACAACACTTGTTTATCGCAAGCATAGAAAAACCAACGGGCCCCGGAAGCTAAAACTGCGTCTGAACAATGAGTGAACATAATTATTACAAAAAGTTGACTGATGAACAAAAGGAACGATTTATACCAGACTGCAGAAGAAAAACCAAATAACATAACAGCTTTACTGAACAATTGAAACGACACCTAAAATGGTCCAGTTAAATTGCTTTTTGCGCCCGAAATTGAGCGTTGATTACCATGAGTTCAGATTGTATAGAAAAGTCAGAAAATCAATCTCCTTTCCCTGTGCAATGGCACGGAACTCAAAGTGTCTTTTCACATGAACTACCCAAAAAATAAGAAATAGGAGAAGTGTAAAAAAACATAGCTAACAGACAGTTGGAAAGGAGTCAATGCACACAAGGAAATAAAAATAAACTTAATTACTTAAAAAAACTTCAATTTTTGAATTTCCAAGTAAAAAATATATGGCTTTAAAGCTCTTCGATCTTCAAGAACAATTTATGATTGACACCTTTTTGATCAAAGAAAGCTGGATCAATAGGTAAAATTTATATTCCGCTGAGAAATTAAAATCCCCTTTCGAAATGAGAAGTCGATCACGTTTTTCTTAACCTTTGCACTTTGCTGTTTGATAGTGAAATTTGCCTTCCTTTTACCAAGAAAACGAACTGAACTTAGGAAATCAAAATTCCAACCACGAAAATTCAATTTTGAGCGTGAACAAAATTGAAGACTTTTCCTGCCAAAAAATATCATCCATTTAATTACAAAAACCCCTAAATCTCAAACAATCGCTTGCCTCTCAAATCTTTCCACGATTGCAAAGTCTTGGAACATATCCAAAATCCCGTAAACTTCTGTCCTACAGACTTCGTCCATTTAGTTAATAAGAGAATTGCGTGAAGATTTCGTAAATTTGAAAACGAGAATAACATTTATATTTTCAGGAGATATAATAACAAGATTACAGTTCAGTGAACGAGAATTGGAAATCTATCTGCTAAGTAAATAATGATCAGTTTTTAGCAGTTTGAAAACACCATCAAAATTTTGTTTTTGTCTAACTGAAAAAGAGTTTTCTTCTATCTTTGCTTGACAAAACTTGCATAAAATTTTAACATTGTAGGCACTTCTTGGTTAGCTTCCTCCAAAATGGATATTAACTTTCCAGATTGGCCCATATTGGCTTGGGTGAAAAAAGAATACGCCATACCCGTGGTCGACCCACGCGCTGTTCTCCCGATTCTATGCACGTAGTCTTCCGAACTGGCTGGATAGTCGTAATTTATCACGTGTTTTATATCCGAGATGTCTAATCCTCTGGCCGCCACGTCAGTAGCAATCAGAATCGGAATTTTGTTGTCTGAAAACTGTTTTAAAACGAATTCTCGCTCATATTGTTTTTTATTTCCGTGAATTGCTTCCGCTTTGAAATGATTTTCGTTCAAATTTTTGTGAAGGTCGTTAACAGCTCTCTTTGTGTCACAGAAAATGAGGGTTCGCAGCGTCTTGTCTTTTTCGACTAGATCTTTCAGCAACTCCAGAATTTTGCCCGGTTTCTCCTCCTCTTCACAACATTCCACTACTTGTGTGATTTGGTGGTTTGCACTTAGTTTCTGGGAGCCAACGTTCACTTTCGTGTAGCTGTCTAAAAGAATAGCAATAATTCTCTTATAATATATGAGTAGAATCTTGTTATTTTAAGAGCACATAACAGTAAATTTTCAAAAAAGCCCTTTTTTCTATCATACATGATCAATGGAATGAAAGTTGCCGTGATAAACAATTAAACACTTCTGCACGTCTTTGTTCAAGATATATTCCGCCGTTATGCAATGCTTTTAGCCGTCATCAAGAAAAAAAATGCTTTTCAAAATGCAACATATGCTAGTCAAGTTTGGTCGAAGTGTGTTGGTTCAGGTCAAAAACTGAGCTGCCCAAAAATTCTAATAACGATCTGTAAGATACGTAGTTAGTTTGAGTCTCTGAACATTTTAGTACCTAGGAAGTCCTCTGCGAGTTGCCACACCTCGTCTGGCCATGTGGCACTGAACATGAGTGTCTGTCTGTCGGGGCGAATGTTGTCAATGATGCTCCTGATCTGGGGCTCGAAGCCCATGTCCAGCATGCGGTCGGCCTCATCCAACACCAGATACGACACCAGTTTGATATCAACCTGAATCACACCACAGCCCCATTTATGTTTCTCATCCACTCGCTTCTATTAAGCGCTCCTTTCTCTAAACGCTTGTTAAATAAAACCCACTTTTCGGAGGCCTCAAAAATTCGATTGATTTTAAGATAAGCCCTTAAACACCGAAATTGTATATTATGTTTTAATGCTTTCAGGAAGAAATCTAGGAGTTACTGGATGGTAAGGGTCGGATTAAAGAACGAGAAATTTTGTACGTCTTTTTATGCCACTTTTAGAAAAAGTTGACAAAAAAAGTGGAAACCAACAATTTCCTAAAAAGGCCCAAAACGGCATCAAAAAGGTCGACAAAAACATGTTGAATTTCGATCCCAAATCCGCAACTGTATGCTCTCACTGAGTTGTTTGGCTTACAAATTCTTTGTTTAAGTGGTTTAAGTTTTCATATCTGCAACAGCGAAGTTAGTTCTTTTCCCATCGCACAAATGTTCAATAGCATTGATTATTTTTAGAATGATACCTCTTTTGATTCCATGAAATCCAGCAGTCGTCCGGGCGTCGCCACTAAAATTTCTGGCCTTTTATTTTTCAGTAGCGCAGATTGCTCTGATCTAGGAGTCCCCCCATACACACATACCACATTTATACCCATCGATGAAGCAAATTCCTCCGTGACTTGTGCTACTTGCTGAGATAACTCTCTAGTTGGACACAGGACTAGCATTAAAGGATTGTTTGGTTCTTTCGGCATTTCTTTGTTGTTCAAAATGTGAACAAGTCCTGGAATCACAAACGCACACGTCTTCCCCGATCCCGTCTGTGCTAGTCCTACCATATCGTCCCCTGAGAGAGCTATAGGCCAGGTTTGTGCTTGGATAGGTGTTGGCTTCTCGTAGTTTTTATTGCGCAAAGCAGTTGAAATTTCACTAGGCAAATCTAAATCTTTGAACGTGATGCAAGGCCTTGGTTGATATCGCCCTTTTAAGGATATGTTGTGGTCATCTAAGTAATCATCGATCTCGTCTGAATCTCGGTCGTTTAAGTGATCGTTCTCAGAGTAGAAATCTTTCTTGGCAGGAGGTAGCTCTAACTTATCGAAATCGGGCGGCGTTAGAGAAGAACTATTACTACTTCCCAAAGAAGATTTACTGGAATTATTGGAAGACTGCGTTTTACGCCATTGATTACCAAATTTGCTACCACTTGAATTGCCATTTTCATTTCTATTGCCACCGTAATTTGCACCGCTTTGGCCTTTTGAATTCGAAGTGTTTTTGGAAAAATGGCCAAATTTTGTTGCAGATGCCGCAGGTGCTTTTGATTTGGTTTCAGTTGAATTTGCTGCTTTCGAAAGAGAAGATGCAGAGGTTTTATTTGGATACTGAGTCCAACTAGACAACGTTTCTGATATTCGAATAGGCTGAGTGTCATTAGAAACACCCCATCTCCAAGGATCTACGTGGCCATTGCTTCTCGCGCCGTATTCGGATCTGTTAAGGTCATGAGCACCTGAATGTCCGGCTAAAGCGGCCAGCTGTGAAGTTCTTCCGTAAAAGCTGGGATCTGAAGGTTGCAACCATGACTCGCTTCGACCAGCCGCCAAATTCTCCTGAGGCCATCTTTCCGTGCTAGTAGGGTAACTGTAATTTGGATAATTGTAATTTAACGGGTAGCCAGCTGAGGTTGGATAATTGTAAGCTTGAGGGTAAGCTGGCACCGTCAAATTTGTGAACTGACCGTAATCACCGCTCGCATTCCTGTCAGAATTTTGTATAAGCTCGGTAATTGCCGAGTGTTTCATTTCTACGGGACCGTTTTTAACCAACTCTTCTGGTGGTTTTTGAGGCGTGAGTCCTTTCGGGTAGGAAATTTGCGATGAAGTACCACTCATAGGTTGAGAGTATGCTGATTTCAATGCAGCTAACGAAGACGGGGCAACTTGTACGTCACTTTGGGCGGGATAATTTGATAGTGGATTAGAAGTGTAGGAATACCCGTTCTGAGGAGTCCAAGTATTCCCATACTGATGCAATGAAGTTGTTTCTTCACCTAATCTGCTCATGTAGTGTTCACTGCTTCCATTCGTGCATGTAGAATTATTTGTTATATTCATGGACCAACTTTCAGCAGAACCGCCTCTGTACACAGAAGGGTCAGCGTAATAACTCATTGCATGCACACCTAAAAAACATTAACAATTTTAACACAGAGAGGATGCACAGCTTTACATCACTTGCGATACAATGCAAGTGTAGTATTGCAAGATCGCAAACAGAAAACAAGACGTATATAACTAAATCGAAAAACAATTGAAAAACCTAAATTTTTTTAAATGAAAAAATTCAAATTCAGAAAAACAGTTAAAGACCACAACCATTAAGAAATCGTCAAGAGACAGTTGGAAAAGAGTCAATTAACGCAAGTAAATAGAAAACTTTCAAATTTCAAAATAAAAAAAAGATGACCTTCAAGCTCAAAACAGTTTAATTATTGGCATTTTTTGATAAAAGAAAACTGGATCAATAGGTAAAGTTTTTTTATTCCGCTAGAAAACCTGATAATTAAATTCCCTTTTCGGAAATTAGAAATCGATCACGTTTTTCGTGAGCTTTACACTTTCGCTCTCCGATAGTTTTCCTTTTAACAGAGCATATGAATTCCATGTAGGAAAATGCAAAGGTTCAATAATAAAGCAAGATCAACTTTTTAGTCTAGCTCCTGATTACAAGACACTTGCTCTCTCTTGTGTATAAAACTATTCGATTCTTAGTCTTCACATCAGACATTATTTTGCCAACTGATTACCCTTCAAAAATGATAACAACAAATGGATAACGAATAAAACAATTCAAATAATCTCAATTTATCATTCATAAGCAGCTATACTTTCCAAAAACTGAGGCACAAGTTCTTTCGAGAGGTGTCTCAAAGCTCTATCATTACACAAATTCGCCTGTTTTACGTCTCCAGTTTCCAATAAAAACTTTTTAAACTCTGTCCAAATTTCTACTGACTCTTCTCCGATCAACTTCGAAAAGTGTTCGAATAGCCACTTCGTTTGAGTGACACTCAACCACGTTGCCTCTGCCAGAATGTTCTGGAACAGATGAAAGTTGACAGGAGGCAGTGACAATATTTTCCTCAACGTTTGCCATTTTTCAGACGTCGAAAGCTCTTCACTCGAATTCGTCAATTTGAAAGTCACATTTTTAATCTCAATTTTGCAGTCTTTATCCGTTATTTCGCTTGAGTAAAGAAATTTTGACATTATCTCAGAGCTGAAATCATAAGAAAGAAAACTCGAATTATTGTAAAAACAAAAATATCTTATAACAGAAAAAAAAAGACTCACAAATTTTCGATTTGGGATATTTTCGGTAAGCTATCTTTTACAGTTGTCCAAAATAGTACTGAATTCAGAAGTTTCTCATTATTCAGAACTTTTTGGCATATTTCATTCTGTGCTTCACACGAATCCATTTCGAGCAAACACTCCAAAAACAAAACATTGCCGCCTATACTATCTGAGTTCTCCTGCAAAAACTGCTTCACCAGTTTAGTACACAATTGTCCATCCTGGAGCTTCAAAACCTGAAGAACATGTACAGCCGTATTTTCATCAATAAGCTTCAAATCCATCCCTTGGGTGAATATTTCAATGCAGAGTTTGAAGTAAGCCATTGCGAGAGATTTCGAAGTGAGGGATGCAGTTTTGCGCATGATTGCAGATATGAGAAGTCCGTATATAGAAAGTGAATCGTGACACAGCAGAAAGGCCTCGTCACAAACATCTTTTACTTCGTCGATAGTTTCCGAATGCAGAGCTGATTCAATTTTTGCAACCCAGAACTCTAAACGTACATTAAATTGACAGTGCAAATAAGTAGATTATTGAAACATCTCCTTTCGAGAAACAAACAAACTTGTACAGTAATATTTTGTCTACTGCTAATCGGAATGTCAACATTTTAAATCAGTTATGCTGTGGATAAATAGTTTTAGTTAAATAAATAAATCCAACTCGTGTCTCTGGTTTAAAAAATCTTGACCCGCACCTTGACTTACGTTCTTTCCTTTCGAACTTTTCACGCATGTAGCTCTCTATCTCTTTTTCTAAATCTTTTGCAAAATCGAAGCCCTGACAAATTTCCCAACAGCTGGCTATCAAATCATAGTCGAAAGGTCTTGACTGTTTGATGTTTTCGAAAACAATCGCCGCTACTTTGGAAGTCGTCATCGCATCTCGTATTTTCTCCTCGTTCGGACTGTTAATTTTATCTTCGCTGTTCAGTAGCTCCTCTACCGTCATCGATCTTTCTCGGTTCAACTCTGCTGCCAATAACTCGAACTTGAAGTACTCTTTGTTGATCAGCAAACTGTTTGGATGCTTCCTTAAACCTGCAAACAGATCAAAAAATCTTTTCAAAATCATCAAATTTTTAAGCATTAAAGGGTATAAATTGCCGAGGCGGCCGTGCAACTGACATACAAAAATGGGGAAAAATTTATTTGGCCTTGTCATCGTCGGAACAAAATTAACCAAGTGATGACAAAGCTAATTTAAAAACTTTACGCTCCTCTTCTCATAACACTCAGAGACACACAAAAAGTTTTTTTCCGCCCACCAAACGATGCATAAAAAGGCTAAAAAAACAAAGCCGAAACCTGTTAAGCACAATAAAAAGAAAAGGACTGAAATTTCAACAAACCAAGTGGTAAAAAACAACCAACTTCAAAAAAGCAAAGGCGAGCGTAAGAATTGTGTTTCCTTTGAAACGACCCACAATTAGGTCACTAAGCCATTAAAAAACAGTCCGAAATAATTAGGGCCGAATAAAGTTTTTGAGGAAAACAAAAAAAACAAAGTCTAGGTAAGTAAAATTGCAGTAGTAAATCAAACACTAAAAGCAACCTTAAAGAACATAGCCAATCGAAGATTGTAAAAGAGTAATGAACAAGCAAGTAAACATAAAAAAAACTTAATTCGTAGAAAAAATCTCAACTCTCGAATTTCAAAGAAAAAAATAGATGCCCTTTAAGCTCTTTGAATTCCCAGAACAATTTATCATTGGCGCTTTTTGAGAACATAAACGCAACTTGAGAAAACTGGAGCAACAAGTAAAGTTATTATTCCGCTGGAAATCAGAAAGTTAAAATCCACTTTCGCAAGATTTCCACGTTCGTATTTGCAGAGTGCTATTTACGTCACTTTAAGCAGATTAACTTCAATTAAACTCAAAAAGTGTATATATACCTAAGTGCATTCATAAATGCATCAATATGCTGTAGTTAAGACTTTCAAAACTTTTCCTAAAAAAAACAAAAAAAAATCAGCAAGACCTATATAAGAGTCTTCACTACGTTCATAACTCTTGAAAATTGCGCACCGCAAATTAAAACAATTCAAAGATGTGGGAACTTAGCCGACAAAAGATAAGCGGTCAAATAATTGGCTGACAATTTTATTTGAAACAGGATATTTAACAGGATATTTTATTTAAAACATGTCCTGGTCAGATTCGGACTCAGTATCTTTGCCATCCTAGGCGTATTCGTTACCTCCAGGCTAAAAATACATGGTAAGCTAAGAACTTTTAATTAATTATGAAACAAGAAACCAATACAGATGAGTCTAGAGTCCAATGAACAAAGTCTAATACCCGATTGAAATACCCTTGCTTATCGCCAGGGTAAACCGGCAGAAATTCACGTGAAAACAACAACAACTCATAACAAGGATACCACGTTACTGTGCAAGTAGCACAAAATGTTCCGACCATAGTCTTTAGAAAACTACGGTTTAAAAAGTTTTTTTTCCAAATTAGTGTAGTTTTTCTGCATGGTGTGATCAAAGGCTCTGACATAAAAATATAATTTAAGCACATTAGACAGTCATAGTAATAAAGGCAAACTGGACAAAAAAAAGTCTAGAAAGATGACAAGAACAATAAAAAATAAATAATATTTTGAGAACAACTTTGAATTTTTCGAAGTTTTTGGTTCCAAAATGAATCTAAAAATTTAGTTTTACTTGCTTTTAAGGTTTTAATTAAATTTTAAGGTCTTAAAGGCATAATAAAGCTGTTGTAAGCCTGGTCGCTTGCTTAATTCGCTTGACTTAAGACGAAAAATCAAAAAAATTCAAAGCGGTTTTTCTCGACACCGGGAAACTTTTTTCGAATTTTTTTTTAATTTTATTCGAATCACGACTGAAACGGCTTTAATATGATATATCACTCAACTCAGTCCGATGATTATTTGTGGTACCTGATTTTGTGTGGAAAACAAAAAGAAAAAAACTAAACCACGCCCGAATACTAAGTTCCTCCCCATGTTCAATGGTCGGAACAATTACCAGACAGCTTGAACACAGCCGAATTTTCAATGGTCGGAACAATAACATCAAATGACTTTGGACGGCTTATCTTTTCGTGTAATCTAACAAAATTCATTTGACAGACCCATGGTCTAACGCGAGAGACAAACCATTTTACCGTGGAAAAATGCTCCAAACCCCAGTATCAGCAGCATTCAGCTTTTACTTAGTGAATCCCATCATCGAAAAATCCACCAAACTAAAGGATTGAATCCCAATCTTTGGCAAACCAGATTTCATAAAGCATCTCTAAAGACTAGCCGAAAACATTTTCAAATCTCCTGCTTTCCGCTAAATTTGCGAAGTGAAAAAATATACGTTCCGCAAGTACAAGCAGAACTATTTCTCCCCTTAGTCGATTTCAGAAATTCAGTTTTAATTCCAATAAATGATATGAAAATAATTATTCAAATTGCATTAAGAAACAAAACATGAAAAACATAAAATTTCGCTCATTAAATTAGCATTATATAATCAATTGCAAACAATAGTTTGAAATCATAATTATACAGAAACTTGCTTTAAACTAATCCATGTATGGGGAATTCTTAAATAAGTCTAAAAGGTGCAGCCTTAACTACCGGCAAACACTACTCAAAAATGAAGCAGCTACATATAATAACAAATTGCCAAAGCCATGCAGCAAAAGTGGCACCAAATACAAATTTGGAATATAACAAACTGAATTTAACAAAGAGTAAAACTTGCCGAGACGGCCGTGCACCTGACATACAAAAGGAAACGCAAAAAAAATCGGCGAAAGCATATAGCCAAATTATGTTTAAATTATGCATTTCAAAAAATTGTGAGACGACTGAGTAGAAAAATGTCTGAAATCGAGTATTTATTATTATATTGACATTTGCAGCAAATAGTTTTCTTTTCGGTTCATTTAAACAATGAGAAATGCATCATATAAGTGAACTTATTATTAATAGAATGACAGAGAACTTATATCAAAAAGCTGTAAAGGTGCCCAAAATTGGCACCAATATTTGCGACTTAAGTTGGAAAGAATAATAGCTGTACTATTATACTCCACTCACTTAAGTTTGGCTAGTGTAAACACAGAGACGAAGATGAGGCTTCGCAGACACAAGCCAGAAAACGACGGCAACAACTAACTCTGACAGGGTCAAACACGAAAATGAAAGGTTAAAAGATTTTGAAAATCTGTTGTACCGGAATCGAACCCTGACCTCGAGAGTAATAATCGCACCTCCTGGAATCTGCACCACGATGTCTAAACATTCAATAACAGAGGCGAAGTTGCACTTCGCATACACTAACGCTATTGGGAAAAACTGAATGAGTAAAAGTTTGCGTCTACAAAATTTCTTCAAAAATGGTCCAGTAAAATTGCGTTTTGCGACGGAAATTGAGCATTGTTTACCATGAGGTCAGATTGTATTGAAAGTCAGAAAATCAATCTCCTTTCACTGTGAATGGCACGGAACTCAAATATTGTTTTTTTTTAACATGAACGACCCAAAAAACAAAACTAAGAAATAGGAAAAGTGAAATAAAACATAGCCAATAGACAGTTGGAAAAGAGTCAATGCATACAAAGAAAAATAAACACAAAGGCGAAGTTGTACTTCACATACGCAAGCAAAACTATGACCGATAACGCTGTTGGGAAAAACTGAATGAGTAAAACTTTGAGTCTACAAAATTTCTCGAGGGACGCACGCCAATAATGAGTCTACATTAGTGCTAAATGACGCAAGCCACTTATGACGCATTAGCAGTACCAGTCAATTTCAAAAAAGAAACTTACCAACTAACATGCCTCAATTGATAGAGCGGACGCATTTTAACTATATACGAAAAAGTTCATTAAAATCATCCCTGTCCAGTTTCGAACCCTCTTATTTTGTTGCGGGTCTCCTTCCCTACCTCTACACTACAGATCCATGATATCTTGAAGCTTAAGTGCCATTTGTAAAATATGATTCTGTGTTAATATCCTTAGCATTGGCTGTACTTAATAGCTGGTTATTGATCAAAATGAACACATTTTGTCGCAACAATATTTGCGACTTAGTTTGCAATAAAGTGAGTTCATTCTATCAAAAAAGCTTTGCTGGTGTACACATAACTACCAAAGAACAGGTACACAAATAACTTCATTTTTACGTCGGGTTTTCTCGACTACTTCATGACTTTTTTGAAATGATTTATAATCCAATTCACGAATGGAGAGCTCAGGAAAAACAACAAAATCAAGTCAATTTTCAACTTATCACCATAATGCTCGCCATCAGAACACTTTTATGATCACAAAACTGTTATGATTTACTTTTTTCAAAGCACCAAAAATTGAAAAACTGGACTAAGAGAATTGTTTTTATTCAGCTACAAATTCTAAAAACTAGACAACTTTTGAAACAAAGCCAAGCTGTATTTTTCACGCCATGTACCATAATATGGCAAAAGCATTGAAGTATGCTTGGAACCAAATGTCAAACCGTCATACTTTAAAACTGATCGTGAACAAACTTCTTCAAGAAATTCTTCCTGAAAACTGAACTCCACGACCTAAATATGTTAAAATCAAAACATCACTTTTAAAACAGTTTCTGAGGGGACTGTATATTACCTTGGAGAAAGAGTGCTCTGGCAGTCTCGATCGAGTCCAGTCTCTCGAACTCCACTTTAGCAGCATAAACCCACATGCTCTCATTGTGGGAGTGGTACTGCAACATCTGCACCAACACTTTGCTCACATGCCTCAGTCTCCCGTTCCTAACAATCACAACAAAACCAAAATCATAGCCTTAACCAAGGGCGGAATTCTTATTGCAGACAACTTCCATCCAATCAACACTCTCTTAACTTGACGGAACTGAATGACTATCACGCTTACTTCTTCCAAATTTTGAAATACTTAGTTTTAATTAGCCAAAAGATTTCTAATCACTTAATTTTTAAATTTGCTGATAAATGCGACGCGTGACCCCTGTCTCAATTATGGTTAGATAATACAGGGTCTCTGTTTATCAATTCTATCTATAATAGTGGTTCCAGGTGGTGAAAAATTGTTCCACCAGTTTTTTCTGAAATAAATTCTTTTTTGAACAATTCGAAAACAACAAGTTAATAACTGCACTGAATTTAACATAGCCAATCGAAGATTGGAAAAGAGTAATGAACGCAAGTTAACATAAAAAACACTGACTTTGTTTTAAAATCTCAATTTTCGAATTTGTAAGAAAAAAAAGATGCCCTTCAAGCTCTTTGAATTTCTAGAACAATTTATGATCAGCGCTTTTTTGATAACATTAACCCAACTTGAGAAAACTGAATCAATAGGTAAAGTTTTTATTCCGCTTGGAAATCCTAAAAAATGAATTCCACTTTCGAAACTAGAAATCGATCACAATTTTTTGCGCCATTTCTACGTTCGTATATGGAGAGTGCTATTTACGTCACTTTCAGCAGATGAATTTCAATTGAACACAAAAAGTGCATATATACCTAAGTGCATTCATAAATGCATCAATATGTATGAATGCACATCTTTTAAGACTTTTCCTGAAAAATAAAAAACAAAAAAAAATCAGCGAGACCTATATAAAAGTCTTCACTACGTTCATTACTCTTAATAAAGATGAAATTTGACTTCAGTTGCAAATGCATTTCAGGACTAAATCTATTTGACTGACTTGATTGAGAACTGGACAGCAGTAGCCCACAGCTGCAGGTCGTCTGAGAAGCGAAAAGTGGCCGAGGAGAGTATGGCCAGTGCTCTGGTCACGATCACGCCCTCGATGTCCACACGACGCAACTTAAAGTGCTCCTCCTCCCTCCTCTCATTAATCAGCTCCACTAAACAGATTGACACTGCATCTCGCATCAATAAATACTCCAATCATTTTACAGACATTGTAGTTAATGGTTACCTCATATCAGATATGAAATGCTTTTTGATACAATACAATTAGATTGAACAGTAAGAAGGCTGTTTGACTAAAAAATTTTATGGAACCATATCGAAACTTACTCTTTTTACAAAGATTAAAATCCCAACACGAATGAGACCAAACAAGAGCAAAAAAAAAACATTTTCAAAATTTTAGAAAAGACAAACAAAAGATAAAGAATTGTTACAAAAAATTATAGGTGAAAAATTAATTACAAGTAAAATATTTCTATCAACTCATCGATGAACTAGTCATCATCCTTCATTACCAGAGTTAGTCTTTACAACCTGGATCTCATCTAGTTAACTTACATATATTTATTATAAAGTAACTCTGTCCTACACAGTTGTGAGATGTATGCGATGAAAGAGACGAAGTGTGACTTCTGCTTCACAGTGGCTACCAGAGAGTGTTCCAGGTGTCTCACTCTCTGCAACATCGCGTGGCACTCCTCGGCCGAGATGAGACTAGGCGGAAGACGTAGTCGCTCCCCCACCGGAACCCAAACGTCTTCCAATCTCTCCTGTGCCCAGTCAGCCATGTTGATTATATTGAGTCAATATGCACTAGAGTATCAATGAACAAACAACCTGAAAATACTCACTATTTCATATGAAAAGTTCTACCAAATGAAGTGCAATTATGTATAAATCATAGCCCTGATTTAGAAGATTCACTACTTCTGACTTCTGCGAAAAACCAGAACTCAAAGTGAACTCAACGGCAAATCCAAGTGTGACCCGTTTCAAAACAATTAGAACCGTTCTCAGAAGTTAATTGAACAGCGTTAAGGCTGAAGAGGTTGTCCGGTTGCAGTTTGGGTGGCGCCGCTACTTTATGTTCATAATTCAAACAACTATATAACATTTAGTGAAAATGAAATGACTTTTCCAAGCCATTTTACTTAAAAATGAAAAAACATTTCCGTTGGAATTTATAAATTGTAAAATCTATTGGTAACAATTAAGTAAGGTATCTGATAACAGATGAAATATTTGCTCTATTTGGTATATAATATATACGCTGGTATCATGAAGGTTCTGTTTGTTGTTTGAACAGGATTTCAGACCAGGAACCATCGTAGATTGGCATTTGGTATCCCAACTCATGAGCAGCCAGAGAGAGAAGACAAGCAGACATTCCAGCATTACACATGGCAACTGTGGGTGAGTCCAAATTCACTCCCTTTTGTTCGAATACAAGCTGAAAAGCATCATTCAACACAGCGACTAAGCATACTTTGATAAAAAAGGATAGCCGGTTACTGTGCAAGTAGCACATAATGTTCCGCTGACCATATTTATAAAAAATACAACACTTTTTTTAAATTAGGGTCGTTTTTTAAGCGTGATGATCTGAACCAAAAAACAGGAGATTAGGCATATTTGACAGTCATAGTAAAAAACGCAAATTGAAAACAATTTTTGTAGAAAAATTACTAGAAAAAGGAATAAAAAACTTCTTTTGCAGTATTATGAGTTTTTAGAAAGAAAGAATTTATTTCTCATTGTTAATGGTAAAAAAAAGCATGAAACGAGAATTTAAACATGAAGCACCAGAAACAGTGAGGGGAAAGTTAACGAACCCAATTGGGTTACAGAGCACTGCCCGTTTTATCAAATGAAATACGAAATTTTAGATCTTCAAAGAATAGGAAAAATATCTAAATCTGAAAATAAAAAAATATTGGAAAAAAAGGCGCTAAAATACTTTTTAAGGTTATTCGAATAAAACTAAGTTTTTACATTTTAAATTAAGCTATTGTAAGCTTTTAAGACAATAAAATAAGCTATTGAAAGCCTTCGCTTGCTTTATCGCTCGAATAACACGAAAAACCAAAAACTTTAAACCTGTTTTTCTCGAGAGCAAATTTTTTTTCGAAACTTTAAAGCCCTTATAGTCATTCGAATCACGACTTTTAGGGCTTTATAATGCTATACCACTCAACTCTCTCCGATGATTATTTGTGTTAGCTAATTTTGCGTAGAAAACAAAAAAATTAAAACACGCGAATACAAAATCCCCATTTTTCAAATTTTAACCTCAGGAGGTGGTTAAAAAGCAGTAATCAGACAGCCTAGTAAGCAGATAGCCGAGTAAGCGAACAAATTTACCAAGCCATTTCAGGTTTAAAACGCAATTTTATTCCCCAGACCATTAAAGAAACTTGATTTTAAATTTAGATGTCCTATAGATTGTGAAATGTGTTTTGAAAGCAATTTTGCGTAGAAATTTTAAAACCATCAGCGATTTCAAATTGAAAAGTCCTCGAAATTAAGAAATAAGTGTTTTTTAAGCAATTTTGCGTGGACATTTTAAAAACATCTGCGAGATTTTTTTTTTCAGCCCAATCTGAGTGCAAAATCAAGAAATTTGTCTGCTTCTAAGGTGTGTCTGAAATAAAAGTTATCTACTCGCTGGATTCAGAATCAGTCATCAGGGAATCAGAATCAGTCAATCCAAAAACGCTTTTTAATCCAGTTGACAAAATAAAAGATATAGCACTTCATATAGTGTTCATGTAATTAGCTTTTTAAAAATATTCAACTGTTTTTTCAAATGTCTCAAAATTAATTGAATTTAATTGAATCAAGTTGAATCATAAATTAAGTTGGAACAGGCACTTTGTTTCAAATAAACAGGAAAATACAAATTCCTTTCAAATAATTTCTAGTTCAATTTTTGCGAGATATTTGAAATGCAAATAACTAATTATTTCAGATTTCAAATTATTACATGAAAAACAAACGTAATAGTCTAGGGACCCATCATAGTAGTAACATTAAGAGAATTTGAAACACATCATTATTCAATTTTTTTTTAAAAATCTATTTTCTATAATGTTTTACGTTGCGACAGTTTTCGAAGAGTGAAAAGAAATGTTGACTAGGGCCAGTTTTTCAATTTTTCCAGCCATTTTTGACAGGAAAAACTTCCAGCCATTTTTGACGATAGAAAGTTCGCATATGCATGAGATATAAAGGGTATCTTGTTAAAGCCATATTGGTCGTGATATGTCTTCTAAAAAATCTAAGAACACCTCTGAAGTCAAATCTGAAGTCGACACAACACAAGAAAAGCATTGCAAGCAAGCAAATGGAAAATAAAACTGAAAAGAAAAAATTTTTAAAAAACTTTGAAAATAAATGAGAAAGAAAAACACCCCAAACACAACAAACAGCGTTAACTAAGCTTTGATATCTAAGCCGTCTCAATACGCGGGTAGATACCCATTGAGTCAAAAACACAAAAAAAGCTATACCAAACTAATGTTATTGAAAAAATTATCAGTAAAATTTCAAAAGTTTGCACTTACAGTACGAACTACGTATGAGTTAGTTAAACAAGAATAATCAATTTGTGTGCTCCAAATTACACAATATAAGTTGACAAAACACGCAAAAAAAACCAAAACAAAACGGCCCAACCCATTCAGACCGAACATAGCTTTTCAGCCAGAAAGGTATAGGATAGTTAACATAAAAAGAACAGAGGTAAAGCAACATTTTGATTACAATAAAAACTGGTAACAGCTGAAGACCAATCCGTCATCTGGCAACTAAGTCGACAAAACATCAGCAGAATCAAACTTAAGCTAACGATGCAATTTTCCCAGAAAATTCAATTTCATAGAACCCCTCTGCCTTAAGAGGTGCAAAAATCTTAAAAATACATCCAACATAGACAATTCTATCTGTGGTATAATCGAGGAGGGTAGATTTTAATTGACAATTCTCTTGATGCATTAAAATTGACTTGATTTATTCATAAAATTTTGCCGATGTATTTATATAGCGTTGGTACGGCCCTATCCAACCTGTGCACGATTTCATACAACTGAAAAAACAACAATGCCCGGCCGCGAATCGAACCCAAGGTCGAAAGGTGTAAAGCAGGCCGCTTCATCTCTACATCAATTGCGAAATTGTTACGGTTCAGTAACTAAGCAATTTCATGTTTTTACAAAGTTTTAAGAGAAGTTGTTTACGGTACAAGTTGTTTACCAACACAGATTTGCTCTGTTTGTAATTTCTACCTTGAAGTTCCCACTTACCGCCATAAATCAAAACCAGTTAGAAAATTTGTTTTTAGAAATAAATGAAAGAGAAAACCAAATCACGTATAAAGATGCAATAAGATAGAGAACAATCAAATATAGGTAAAATAAGAAAAGTTCAATAATCACTTCTAGAAGGGAAAAACCTAGGTGCAAAAACAACCTGAACTAGAAAAAAACATGGTGGTGGAACAAAAATAGAAAAAGGAGAAGAAATAAAACAATTTTTGTTCAAAAAGTAGTCGAGGTCTGGAAATGGGAAGGAGTTATTTATTGGAGACAACACAGTCGTGAAACAACTAGTTGGTGAAGCACACAAAAATCAAGCCAGAAATGCTGTCAAGACCTCTCAAAATCTGAGACGTGACTTCAAATTTTCTGCCTTGCCATATGAAAAATGATCAAAATAATGTGTTTGAAGCAAAATTCATTAAATGCTAAGGAAAACTCCAGATTTGTGATCAATTTGTTCACTTGTAGGGGCAAAGCTACTTCTGGGCCCTTTTATATAAGACAAATGCTTTTGAAACTGAAGATACCCCCCAGTGACTGGCCCATTGGATGAATTTACTATCCAGGAAGTGGCACTGGCTTGCGCTCTGAGAGAAATGAAAATTAGGAAAACCCACTAGAACTAGGGCTAACTTCAAACATAATAAAATTTTCCGGTGAATAAGGAGTTGCTGGACTTTTTGAAGTCTTTAAGAAAATATAGGAATTAGAACTAATCTCCTCCGATTGGAGCAAAAGTGAAGCTGTTACCTTTTACAAAGTGAAACTAACAAGTGAAACTACCGCAAGTGAAACTAACACTCAATCTAAGATTGGTTCACCTTATTCAATTGCTCTCTAGAAAAATAACACAAAGTTTTGACCAAATATCGATGAAAAAGACCTAACAAAACAATCATTTAAAAAAAACAGATTTTTCACTTTTCCTCAATCAATGTGGTCGAAACATTTTGTGCTACTTGCACAGCAACAAGCTATTTTTTTTTGAATTTCTAGTTACAAAACTTGATTACTTCATTCTTTTACAGAGGCGATACAGCTAGATCTATCAAAAAGAATGAACATAGTTGTGAAAAAATTGCACAAACAATATAATGCAAAATCAGCATGCTAAAAAAATTAACCAAGCGGCGATAAAGCCGAAAGTATCTGGGCAGAAGCTCTTCAAGCCAAAATTATAAATGTTTACGTTCTCCGTCCCCTTATAGCACATACAGACACAAAATCTTTTTTGAGCATCAAACGACGCTCATAACGCATACAGACACAAAAACTTTTTTTTCGAGCATCAAACGAAGCAAAAAGAGGCTATAAAGCCGATAAAACACAAGCCGAAATCTAGTAAGCCGAAAAAACATGAAATTTCAACAAACCGAGTTGTAAAAATGCAAGCAACTTAAAAAGTGCAAGAAACGTGAAAATTGTGTTTCTCATGGAACGACCCAATTTTGGGGCACTATGCCGATATAAAATAAGCTGAAAATTGGACCGCAAAAAAATTTTAAACAAAAAATAATAATAAAAAATGAAATACCAAGTCAGTCAGTAAAATAACAAGAAGCTCAAGCAATAAAAGCACCATTCAAAACATGCGCGCAGCAAACAAAAACAATTCCAAAAAAAGATAAACAGAAAAATCATAGGCCGACAATTTTATTTGAAACAGAATATTTCCCGTTTGAAAAGAAAACAGGTCCTGGTCAGATTCGAACCAAGGACCTTGCGTCCCAGGCGTAAAGGTCCGGGAAAGCTAAAAAAACTTGAACAAATTATGAAACAAGGTACCACTAGAAAGGAGCCAAGAAGTCCAGATAAGACGAGTCCTGTCAACAAGGTTATTTACGGGAAAAGTCTAATACCAGATCGCAATACCCTTGCTTATCGTAAGGGTAAAAAAATAGCTGTCATTAATTGACTACGGATTTGAAAACACTTCCGGTTCAAAATTACAGTTGAGTTTAATATTATCAACAGCTTCATCTTATAAGTTATAATTAACGTAGGTTTTATACTTCAATGAATTATTCTACGGTAGGAGTATTTCTACATACCTCTAACTGTTCGCAGTCTTTGAACGTGCCGTCTTCATTGTAAAACTCTGAAAAGGGGACATTTTTAGCATGAGGCACATTTCCCCTCATGAAATTCGCCTCCCCTCTTGCATCTAACAACTGAAACTCTGAGTTGTTGCACTTTGAATTCCGCATAATATCTTCATAATTTTTGAGCATTTCGGCATTCAATTTCGGGTTGTACACAGATTTTTTGAAAGAAGACTGTTCATCAGTGACAGCTTGTCCATCTTTTATCCACGCATGAATGCCTCCGTCGAGAATAGACACTTTTTCATGTCCAAAAAGTTTGAAAAGGAACCAGGTTCTGCTAACTGAGTACTGAAAGGAAACGTTCGGCGTTTGATCGTATATCACGACATGGTCTTCATTTGTTATACCTGTGCGGAAAATTATAAAAAGATGAGCCTATCGATCTTACGCTTTGAGATTTATAGGATTATCAAAATTTAACAGCTTTTTAAATTTTTTTATAAGTTCACATTTGTTTTCAAATGTTAATCAGATACTGAGAATACAGACCTCTTTCAGACGCGTATTGCGCAAATTGTTCTGAGCTTGGAACGGTTAAAGGCAACGGTGAAGTTTGATCTGCCAGCTCAACAAGGTTTGTATAAGAAGAATTGGGTATATGTGCTTTTAAATAGCTCTCAAGAACAAAGGAATCATTCATTTTGGGTGCACGCCCACTTTCAGTAACATGAATCCTGGTTCCACTTTTTAGAGCAACGGATAACCAGTTGGCTGATACTATTGATTGAATTTTACCCCTCATTTATCCTGAAAAGCTGAAAATGGAAGCCAGCCCACCTGGTCACAAAAAAATGAATAAACACTTAAATTGCAAAAATGAATAAGTTTCAAATGTGCAAGTGTAGGTCAGAAATTAATGAAAATTAAATGAAAATAAGTTTACATTACTAAAAAGGTATTATTTAAACAACTGCCGTTCTTAATTTCTTTTGGTGCTGTAGATTTTTTTTATTTCCACTGTTATTCTGTAGAAAGAATTAAGTCTTTTAGTAGTAGTAGTAGTAGTAATAGTAAACACTTATATTATAGACCAACAATATGATAAAGGGAGATACTGTTTTTCCCTAAATGATCTTAAAATGTGTAACATTCGCCCAAATACTACACAGTGACGGAGCGTAGTGTAACATTCGCCCAAATACTACACAGCGACGGAGCGTAGAAAAAGTACCTATTAACGACTGGCAGGCGTCAGTTAGCTTAATCCTTCTCGTTTTTCACCGTCTCGACCTTGCCAGTTGATTTTCTGGTCTGTTTAGGGCTAAGTAAAAAGTTACTATTTTTAGGCCATCAGTCAAACGACTTTTGATCAGCTTTCGTTTACATGCGAACACAACCACATAGCTGAGTCTCGGATCCTCAGACTACGTGATTGCCATTAAAAACACGGCTCGAACAACCTATTTTAATATGTTTTTGTGTGACAGTTCTATATTAAATCCATTGGAGATGGATAGACCCTTTTCTCTTTCTAGCTACTCATATTCTAAAATATCAAATAATACCGGTGTTAATTCAGAGTTCTACGACATCCAAGTAGCTACAAAGTCAGTTTTATATAGTCCCTTCACATAAAACAGTCTCTGGGGGACCAAGCCTCCGCTCCCGTAATCTTCCTGAGATAACGTTCTTATCTCTTCCAATTTGTGGCACGGGAGGGTTCCGTGGAATATTCCTTCCCCACTGAAGCTTCCTTCTCCACTAATATCCACTGCTAAGAGTCTTATCGTGTGTTGTTGCCACGATAAGAGGCTTTGTATTTCTCGTCTCTTGTGCGACCGTTTTCCACAATATTTGTCGTTGTTTTGTTTTTTCGTCCTTTTTCGTCAAAATGGCCGTCTTTTTGTATTTCTGAGAAATATTCACTCTTTGATCGAAATTTTTAAAATAAAAATTCTAGAATATTCCTACCCTCCTTCGCAATACTTTTTCGTTAATAAGGCCTTTATTCGTTTCTTTTCGTGTCGCCGGAAGGTTGCACTGTGCCTATCTGGCAAAATCGCACATACTCCCCGGACAAGTCCCCATCAATGTCCCTATTGATCGCATAACACCGGGTTATCGTCAAGTAGTGTTCCAGTTCTCTGTAATCAATCTTACAAATCGCATAAGAAAATGAAATTTATCTAGTCCACCTCAACTCACTACGTGTTCACAAATGGCATCGTACTACATCTCACTGCCTTTCAACATTTTCACAAAATTTGCACCATGAGAAGTGTCCTAGATAAAATTTCTTTTCTGACTACTTCCGTCGTTTTGCCATAAAACTTCTTTTCGCTCTTTGTGATTAAAAAGTTGGGACGTGGCACGGCCACGCACCCGTTAAAATTAACTAAACATCACTCACCAAGTATAATCAGTTATGTATGCGGTCCTTTCAATATTACAACTAAGAAACTCTTTGGCTAGGAAAGTTATTGAGTTATTCACCCTCTCGAGCGAGTTTACTCAAACTTACCATGTCGCCACACAGTGAAATTGTGTCCTACACAGGTTAAAAACTTCAGTCATGTTTAAATAGGTAAATATACTCACCTATGTTCTATATATATACATAAGTAGTATAACTAAAATTCTCTTTCAACAATTTTAACAATTGTAACAATTTTCAAAGTTTGGTTTGATCAAACTAAATCAAAACAAAAAGTTTAACAAGTTCAATAATCAAAACTTGGTTGATTGGTTCAAGTTTTAACACACAAAGACAATCAAGTTTTTCCTCCTTCTCTCCTCTTCTTTGCTCACGTCTTCACTTGTTCTCTTTGTTCTTCATCTTCATTCCATCGCTTCTCCATCCTGATCTTCAGCTTCGCTGTCTTCTAGGACTTTCTCCAGCATGTCCATGGAGTTGCAGGCCGTGCCCCAACTCTCCTGTTCCAACAGCCTCGGTTTGCAACAAGGTAGCAGGTCCACATTCACCTTTTGCTCCCGGTTCCTGCAAAAGCTGTTGTGAAGACATAGGCTCACATTTCTTTCTAGGTCAGCTCTTAAGACCTCTTTCTTCTCATCTTCAGTTACACAAGGCGCTCCAGCTACTCGCTTTACCGCCGTGGTGACCGCGTTTCTGTGCGTCAGGAATGCTCTCTTATAGGCTCGCGGTCCTATATCTAGCTGGAAAGATTGACAGGCTTCCGTGTTCCTCGACACGTGACGCTTCGCGCGTTCATACATCCATGATGTCATCACTGCACGGAACCAAGGCATCAATCTTTGCCTTGACCATATTCTTTCAATGGCTTTGGGTATTCTCAGAACATTGCAGGTGGTTCTGAAAAGATCCAATTCATGACTCATCTTCACGTTGCTCAGCTGTTCAGGAGTCGGCACGGCCGTCTCCTGTTCACTTGTGTCCGCGTTAGCCTCCAACCATCTCACTGCCAGCATGCAACTAACCACCACGATTGACACCTGTTGATTCTGATCGGGCAACCCCGTAGAGTACAACTCTTCCACGTCCCATACTAGCATCAGATTCCCGCGTTTGGGGTACCACAACGTCTGCGCCAAGCAGTGGCAAGGATACTCCCCATGGGTCCTCACTATGTTCCTTCGGGTACGATACCCTGAGGCTCCCAGCAACGGTTCCACCTCCATCAGAATTCTGTGTAAATCGTCTTTCTCTTCTATGGTGGGGAATTCAGTGGGTAACGCTCCACTCGATTTCTGCTTCTGGAACTCACTCAGATTACCTTCGTTCAATCTCAGGAACTCTTCACCCACTACGTCTTGCAACTCGCCTTCAGACCTCTTCGGGACTGCCCGAAAGATCTTCGCCAACAAATCATATGACCTCTCCGACATTCTGGCCAACCTCACGCACTTTGGCACAGAGAAAAGTTGGTCAATCAACACTTGTTGCGTCCTCGCATCCATCACTACCATGTGCGTTGGATACTTGCTATTACAATACTTGCCATTACAAAATCCCAAGGCTGTGGTGAAGCTTACATCCGTCACCCCATGACAGTCCGCGACCAACTCCATGCCACTCTTATCTGACATGCTCAATCTTCCGTACAATCGTGCCAGTTGTCGATGCTGCTCGCTCAGCGTAATCAGGCAGTGCCCCAAGTTGCAAACATGTCCTTCCATCCCACTATGTTGAGCCAAGCATGTGCCTTGCTTCAACCAATTGCTCGATGGACTTTCCCCGGATAGCTCCGTGGATGGGTTGCTCTTCTGCTTCGTCAACCTCATGGCCACCAGATTGTGTATCATGGCCAGATCATGTAAACTCGCGTCATCATCCAGGTCTAACGTGATATCCGCCGTCATGTCCCAGATTAAACCGGCGTTAGGATGAGGACACCACGAAGGCTTCATGAGTTCCCACATCGTTACTAGACTGGTTTTCAAGGGACCGTCCCAAGAACCACAATCAAAACTCACCTGCCCCTTTAGCTCGGGAACCGAGGGTTTGACCACTTGTTCTTCTAAGATAATTCCCAGCTTGGGTTGTTCCACCATCAGCATTCCAGTTTCTTTAATCCGTTCAACCCAGAAATTGAGTACTATGACTTGCTCATAGTCGAAGTACGCTTCCCTGGCTTCTTCATTCACGAAGGGAGTATACGCCATCCCCGGTATGCCAGACACATATTGGAACGACTTCAGTTTCCCTAGTGTTGCAAAGTCTTTTTGTCCCCTGACTGCTTCAATCAACTCCCGGTTCACTTTCAATTCTTTGTTGGAATATCTTCTCACTTCTTCCAACTTGCGATAGCTCTGCATGTCATTCGACTCCCTATTTGGTACAGTCAACGGCATACCCTGATATAGTTCCAGGAGTGCCCTAAGGAAGTTTCTTTCGCAATCAACTCCCTTTTGCCGAATGATCTTTATGCATTCTCCCAAAACAGGAGTGGGGATACGATCCACCACGAACCTGACAAAGCAAAGGGCATCCTTACGCTTAGCCCGTGTTATCGCAGAATCGTCTTTTGAAATCAACGCTCGCAGAGCTTCCATCAACTCCAGCTCCTGTTCCCGTGATTTCGAATCATTACTGGCTTCATATTCCGCCTTCTTGATGCCCATCAAGCACCAAGCCAACCGTACTTGCAGGTCAGTTCTCGTGCACGGATGAGCCAGGTACGCTGCCACCGTCGCAGGTGCATGCATCGTCTCGTCGAAGTATCTCTGGAGGGCCGCCCTCCAAGAAATTTCTAGTAGTTTTTCCAATCCGATTTCGTTCGCTTCCGAGGACATTACCGTGCCGTATTCTTTCCGATTTAAGTTAGAATTCTCCGTAAGCCCTTTCAGATATTTTTCTTGGCTCGCTTCTCGCTCCAAGCCATCAGGTGCCCTCTCGCGGAGTTCCTCGCTTTCAACGTCTCCACATAACCCCCTGCTGGATCTCCTATGTGGACCGATTCCGGCACAGTGACTCGACTGTACTCGACCACGTCGAGTTGTCCTTCCAGCTTCAACTTGGCCATGTTGGTTCGCGAGGGCCTGTAATCTTCAAGTCCTCCAGATCCACATTGACTGATGATCTCCATCTCTAACTTAGTGTCTGCCAGGGTTCGTGCTGTCTTCTTTGATTTCATGGCTGTCGTGGTCAGACCTGCCAAGAGCATAGGGGGTATCAGATTCTCTTTTTCTCCTCCGGTCAGTGTCACACCATCTCCTTGCCCGCTCTCGCCTGAACGACCTGTGCTCGTCAGAGAGGCCACCACTGCGCTGGCTTTCGACTTCACCACTCTCGGGTTCACGGCTCGACTTCCTGTCTTCCCTTTTAGTCGCTTCAGCCCCTTTCTGGCTCGTCTAACGGGTAATTTCTTTGTGACCTGCTGATCATCGGCACCGTCTTTTGTAACTGACTCGGTCAGAACATCCGACTCCATGGAGTTCACTATTTTCTCCAGGACCTCACGCATGATGGGTTGGTT